GTGATTACAATTGTAACATTAAAATTTTCATTGTAGAATCATACAATTATAATGTAATTATAATTTTCATTGTAAAATCATGAGTAACAAAAAATGTCTTTTGACACGTACTGAACTTATTTCCAGTATAGTTTTATAGAACTGTGTAAATCTTTGCTTTTCCCACTAAAGTACATTCTCAATTTTCCTGATGTTGTCCACTGGTAATAAACTTTTTTATCTTTTCATTTTGGCAATGTCTCACCTTTACCAGGTTTGGTGGCTAAGTATAGATTCAAAGTTCGAGATCACACTCAGACTTTAAAGCTATTGTTGGTTTCTCTTATATTGCCCAGAATTTTTGATGAACTGATTCTTGCTTTCACTTGAATCTTATTTTATTTCCTTGTGAAATTAGATGGTATTGTCAAAAAACTTTAAAATTTTTTGGTTCTAACAGGTTTATTCAGTATAAATGCTTTTGAGAAAATTCCTTGTTATTTCTTTTTACCTCTCCACTCTGTCATTCCTTGTGGAATTCCTGTGGCTTCTGATAGATTATGTCTACCATATCCATTAACTTCTCTCATAATTATTTGTATGTTTTATTCATCTCTACTTAGTAATAATAATCAATTTGCCAATTTATTTTTCAACATCCTCATGCATAGTATTTAGTAGGCCCAATGAACACTTTTTCAAATTTTTTATGTAACATGGTTAAAGCTGTTAATATTTATGGCCTTGATGTACAAAGGTAATGGACCTTCACCACTACCAAAATGTCAAAGACCTTCCGCCACTGTTCTTATTCCATTTCTAGTCCGCCTCCTCCTCACCATCTACCTCTCCCCCGTTTGGTTATCTTAGTTTTGAAATACAAGGCCAAGAGTTTGTCATCATTCCATATTATCTATTCCCTTGTTATGTTCCTCTACATACCACAGATGAGTGAAATGCCTAATATTTTCACTTCTTGCTGTGATTTACTTTGCTTAGCATGACGCCGTACAGTTCCATCCAAGTTGCAGCAAACTCGAAGATTTCATTCTTTCAAACAGCTAGGTATTTCATTATGTATATATGCACTACTTCCTTACCTTATCATCTAACAGTGTTTTTTTTCCACATCTTGTATACTGAATTTATATTTTTTTTAATTTTTTAATAGTGAGACATCAAGAGGTACAGTTGCAGACTTACACATTTTTGCGCTTGGGTTTCAACTATACAATGATCAAATACCCATCCCTCCACCAGTGCCCATTTCCCACCACCACGAATCCCAGTATCCCTCCCACCCCCCATCCCCCTCATCCCACCCTGCCTCTGTGGCAGGGCATTCCCTTTTGTTCTCTCTCTCTCCTTTTGGGTGTTGTGATTTGCAAAAGAGGCACTGAATGGCAATCATGTTTGGTCTATAGTCTACTTTCAGCATGCTTCTCCCATCCTGGGAGGATTGGGGGATATTGAATTTAATGCAATAAACATAGGTATGCATATATCTTTAATGGTTTTATGTTCCTGGGGGTAGATGCAAGAAGTGGTGTGTATCTACGGGTGATGCAGAAGCTCTATATTTCTTGACTAATTGCTAGACTGTTTTCCACAGAGGCTGAACTTGATTACATCCCCACGCAAAGTGAGTGTTCCTTTACTCCATATCCCCGTGAATACTGATTATTTCCCATCTTTCTATGTTAATTCTTAGCCATGTGAGATATCTCACTGCTATTTCGATTTGCATCACACTGGTGACAATAAACACCTTTTCATATGCCAGCTGAATTTCTAGTCTGCTTCTGAGAAGTATTTATCTCCTCTCTCCATTTTTCAGTGGGGTTATTAGCCTTTTTGCTCTTGACTTTTGTGAATATTTTATATATCTTAGATATTAGCCCTAAGTCTGGTATATGTTGTGCAAATAATCTCACAAAAGTGATATATTTTTTAGTCTGTTTCTTTTATTATTAAAAAATTTTTGTTAGATGCAGTCCCACTTACTTATTTTCATTTGTACTTAATCACTGAAGCTACCTTTGAGGTCCATATCCTTGGGAAGCCCATATTTCAGAAATATTCCAGGTCTAAGTTAGTGGTTTTCAACTTTTATGCAATTAATTCAAGACTAATGCATACACCAACAGAAAATATTACTCTCAAACATAATTTTTCAAAGCCAAATTGTATGACTCTTTTGAACACATAATTTTTTGGCAAAGAGTGGGGAAGTATTCTGTTCATTATCACTGACCTAAACATGAACAAAACGTCTAAAGTCACAGAAATCTAGAATTAAAAAAGACTATCTTTGTGACTAGCAGACAGGTAAATATTTCTTACATTAAAAAGTGTTACTTGTTAAAAGGGCTGGAGCGACAGACAGCACAGCAGGTAGGGTGTTTGCCTTGTAAGTGGTCAACATGGCCAACCCAAGTTCGATTCTTCTGCCACTCTCAGGGAGCCCGGCAAGCTACCGAGAGTATCTCGCCCACACGGCAAAGCCTGGCAAGCCACCCGTGACGTATTCAATATGCCAAACATAGTAACACTTGTCACAATGGAGATATTACTGGGCCCGCTCGAGCAAATCAATGAACGAGAGGACAGTGACAGTGACTTGTTAAAAATATCTTCATATAAAGGTATCATCTCAAAGTCACTGGCATGACTAAAATTATTGACTGATAATCACCAATGCTGACAAAGATGTAAAACTATATAGCATTAAATTTTCTAACTGTACTGTAAAATTATACAATCATTTTGGAAATAGGTTTTCCAGTTTTTCATAGTGTAAATCATGCACACATCTGAAGAGAAATAAAAACATATATTTGTAAAAATGTTGACAAGAATATTCTACTTTATTCATAAAGACATAGAATCTAATACTGCATCAAGAGGAAAATAAAGCAGTACATTCATATCATAAATGGCACCATTCAGAAATACATCAACAACCAATATACATCGACCTAAGACTGGTTGAGCATAATCCCCCTGCACCCCAACCTAATACATGTTCCTTCAACTCTCTCCACTCTCGAGAAGCCCATACTCTCTCTTGAACACGTAACCTCCTATGTCTCTGTCTTGCTCTCTCTTTTCATATTTCTCTAAATCAAACTTTTATTCTTAAAAAATATATACTGAAATTTAGACACGGAGCAGAGAGCAATTAGTTTTCAAAAAGAGATTTCAAAATGTTGGAATATGTGCCTTGCAGGCACAAGGCTCTGAGCTCACTCTCTGGTGCTGCCCGGTGTACGGCACCACTGGGCCCCAAAATACCACATGCCCCACCTAGCTATCCAGCCTAGTGGGCCAGATTTTACCAACTGTAGTGACAGGGCACTCCAAGCATGCTTAAGTGCAACTCCCCCCGTCAAATATTTTTCTACATATCTGCATCTGATAACATTAAGAAAGTCTGAACTATTTTGTAATGACCTTTCACATTGATTTTCCTTTTACAAAAAAGGATGGATTTTATGCAGGATTACTGTAAAAATGAAAGGTAGCACCAGAATCTCAAAAAATGGAAACACTGATTTGTCACAAAAATACTTGTATTCCAGCAGAAGCACCATAGCTGTTAATGAGAAACACTCAAGGATCACTGTCGAGGGGCTTGGAATACCAGATGGGCTGCCAGGGATTGAATCCAAGTCTGGCATGAGACTAGCTACTAGCTACACTATCTCTCTGGTCCCACAGTTTTCATTCAAAATTTACCTGGAAAAGTGTGAGATGAGAGGATTAGAGGAGAATGTGTTCAAGAAAGAACATGGGCTCAGAAAAATGCCTGAATTAAGACTCTTAACTGTTGAATTACATCCCTGAGAAACCATTATTAATATCATTATTAAGAATATTATAAACAAAAGACTATTAGCTATTCATTGGGACATTTCATTTACATGATTTCATTAAACCACTGAATTTATGCATCTTTTAAATTCATTAATAAGTAATGTGGAGTTATTAAATCAAGACAATTATTTAATATTAAAGCGGATGGCAGAGCAATAGTCAGTGGGTAGGGCATTTGCCTTAGACACAGCTGACCCAAGTTTAATCCCTGGGACCATATATAGTACTTTGGAGCATGCCAAGAGTCAGCCAAGACCAATGGCCAGTGTGGCCCCATAATAAAACAAACAAATAAAAAGCGGCAGGGTGAGGGGATAAGGAGCCAAAGCACTCAGAAAGCAATGATAAACAACAGCTTCCAGCAGGGGATAAAGTACAGGGTTAGGATGCATGCAAGGTGCAGGTCATATGCCCAACCTGGATTTAGTCACAAATCTCCAACATGTGCAGGCCTCCGAGCACCCTGGGCTGTAGCTCTGAAGCCCCTGAGCAATGACAGCCATGGCCCTATAGAACCCCAAGCACCCACAAGATGTAACACTGCATCATTAGGCCCTAGAAATGAACCAATCATATATCATGGGGAAATGGTACCTGGGTCCTAGAGTACCAGCTGGGAGGCTCCTCAACCCTCCCCTCCCATATAGTCTCTAACAAAAATAAGTGCAAAAACAGGACAAAAGAAATTTTGATGTAGTTTCTTAATAGTTATCATGTAAAGTGAGATACACAGGAGTTGAGATCATCATCATATTATATTAAGGAAGATATCCAAGTACTAGAACTGCAGTGCAAGGAATTTTCAAGGATTGCTCCCAAAAATTCAAACTAATTTCAGAAAAGAAACAAAGGATTCTCCCAAGTCTCAAAATGTGTCACTTTGCTGATACTTTGATTTCAGACTTATAGGTGAAATGAGACCATCTATTTTTATTCGTTTCAAAAGCAACTCAAGTTTTCTTCTTTTGGAGTGGTCCAAGGAAATTAATACATGTATATCATTACCACAGTTTTTATTATTTGTTTACCTAAAGATTAGTGAATGGGCATATTAATAAGATCTCTATGTCAAAGAAATATAAGAGCAACAATTTATGTTACTCTTTCATATTATAAAAATACAATGAATGTAGCACTACTAGAGGCTATGTGTTCATTTGTTTAAAAATTTGAAGATTTATGTATATGAGAACTTAAAATACCTGAAAGTACACACACAAAACTAAACTAAGAATTTTATTTTAAAAATAAAAAATAATTACAAAGCAAATATCCCAGCTGTACAAATGTAATGTGCTTATGCATCATATACACACAAATATATACAAATTTATCATATACACACATTCACACACGTACATTTGAACTTTGCTTCATCTTTTTATCTGAGTAAAAAGAAGAACACTTTCCTCATTCAGGAGATTTCTGATGTTATAATAATTACCTAGAAGTGATAGAAAAAAAGTTTATTTCCCTAAGAATTATTTCCTTTTTAGTATTTAGCCCAATGTAACTTTTATTACATGAGGGAGATTAAATAATTTATTTGTAATAACTTTTTAATTACATGAACCTACGCAGCAGGCAGGTTCATAGCTAGCATCGAACATTTTTCTTTACTTTTCTAAATTACTAGAAAGAAGAAGGGGTTCAGAGAATGCAAGGGTACTTGCCTTGCATGTGACCAACCTGAGTTCACTCCCCAGCATCACATATGGTCCCAAGCTCCTCAGAGCCAAGATTAAGAGTGAGGTATGTCCCCAAAACATACCAGAAAAAAAAAAAAGAAAAGGATAGATACTTAAGATTAACTGTAGCATTTATAAGAGTGCTGGCACAGACATTATTACTGATTTTTTCCATTAGAATGTACCATAACCACTGTACTATATCTCCAAACCCCTATCTTTGATTTGTGTATCAAACAATAAACAACTACTGCTCATTTCACGTATTAACAGCAATATATTTCCCATAAAAATGAAAAATATTTTAAAAAGATGTACAAAATTTGTATGTCACATCACTTTTTGCATCTCAATGGTATGGTCTATTTTCATGGTACACATGTGCAGTACAAAAATATTAAATCTGTGTAAAAGAAAATACTTTTAAGTATTCTTACCTGAAGGAACATAAAATGAGTCTCCCGTTGTTATTATATAAGGTGTTTCATGTAAGGTACATAAAAGGTCACCAAAGTTAACATAAAAAACCTAAAAAATTAAAAAATAAAATCTTATTTAAAATTGAAGCTCCATAACTACACCACAAAAAACCTTAAAGGAAATTCAAAATGTGTAGGCTTTAATCTTCAGTCTCGGATTACAGCTAGACGGACCCAATCTAATCTTATGTGCTTTAGAAACAGAGAATTTCTACTATTGAAAATAGAAATAATGATAAGCTGAAAACAGAAATTTGAGAACACAAGAACTTCCACATTTGCTGACACAGAGGACTAAGAAGCAAGAAAAGTACGATGTCTAGAAGCTGTGATGAAGAATCTCAGTTCTTTACTAGCACGTGGAACTGAACTCTGCAATCCACTGAATGAACAGGAAAGCAGATTCATCCTAAGGGTCTCTGAGAAATACAGACCTGCCAACATCTTAATTCCAGCCCTGTGTTACTATACCAGATTCCTACCTTCTACCTAACTGTGCTGGTAATACTGTTTCAGTCACAAAAATCTATGGTGACCATTAGCAATAGAAAACAAATACAGAAATAAACTTCTTTCATTGTTAATTCCTTAACGGTGTTGCCCCACTAAAATAAGTAGGTCTCCTGGGTGTTTTGTGAATTATGCTGCGATTCTTCATTTGGGTTGACACCAACTACTGTTTCTCAGAGTACCAAAGGAAGTGGGGGGTGGGGGAGTAAACTCAAGAAAAAAGTTACTGCTTCCCCGCTCAATTCATCTGTCACTAGGGAAATGCCTGAGAGGGTTTGAACTGAAGTCTACCTTGTGGAAAACAGCACTAACCCAGCTCCATAGGTCAGTTATCAGACTGCATCTTAAATCTATGGATCTAAATAGTGAAAAGCAAACCCCCATCCTCCACCAAGATGTGGGATCAGGCAGAAGTGAAACACTGCTCCTTGCAGAAACAGAAAAGACAGTTCCAATCTTTGCACAGGCTTTCTGTGTGTTCCCAGTGTTGCAGTTGCATCATCTTCCCTTGCAGGAAAGCATTTCAGGTGAAGTGAAATGGTTTTATTTGGCAGAGAGGTAAGTGAGAAGTGGGGTGAAGGGAAAGGGAGAGGAGGGAGGAAATGCATGTTCAATAAAACATGAGAGGGGGCAGAGCGATAGCACAGAGGGTTGGGCACTTGCCTTGCATGAAGCTGACCTGGGTTAAATTCCCAGCATCCCAGGCCTGAATGACAGAAAAGTGAGCGGGACAATTTGCCTTTTAAGTGGCCAACCTGGGTTCAATCCCCAGCATCCCATATGGTTCCTGAAGCATCACCAGGAGTAATCCCTGAGTGCAGAGTTACGAGTAACCCTTGAGCAACACCGGGTGTGACCCCAAAAAAGCCAAAAATAAATTAAAATTCCTGGCATCCCATATGTCCCCCAAACCCTCCAGGAGTTATTCCTGAACCTGTAGCCAGGAGTAAGTCTGAGCACTGCTGGGTAAGGTAAAGGTAAAGGCCCTCCCGTTGATCATCGATTTGCTCGAGCGGGCCCAGTAACGTCTCCATTGGAGACTTTGTTGTTACTGTGTTTGGCATATCAAATACTCTCGGTAGCTTGCTGGGCTTTCCGAGAGGGGCGGAGGAATCGAACTCGGGTCGGCCATGTTGGCCGCGTGTAAGGCAAACGCCCTACCGCTGCTGGGTGTGGCACAAAAACAAAAATGCCAAAAACGAGGGGGGGGAAAAAAGAAGAAAAGAAAGCTCAATTTCTCCAGAGAAGAGAAAGCCAAGAGTATTACACCCCAGGTAGAGATGCAGTGGATCTCTAAGCTTCTCTGTCTGGATTCTTCCAGGATAGAGAAAGCATGCAAACTGCACAGCTTATAAAGGTGGTTTATAGCAAGGCTCTTCCCAAACTGCCTCACCTGGGCATCTGATGCTGTGCCAAAAGGAAGAGGCTTGGACGCTTTCTCCCCTCTTTCACTGAAGCACTGTCATTTGCAATAACGTTAACGACAGTTTCCTGCATGCTCTTGATGACATTTTCCATTTCTTAACCTGACCTTTTTATTCTTAAGAGTTTCTTTTCTGAGGCGGTTCCTTCTAGTATGTAAGGTTTGGCATCTGAGGAGTGCCTTCATGTCCTTAGGGCTAGTAACTCAGGAACTTCTTTAAACCACATGTAGGTATTAATAGTTCCCCAAAGTCTATTAACCTGGGTCTCTCCCTGTCTGTCTGCCTGCAACAACAGCTTATGAAATTTCAGGATCACTGTAAAGAATATCACTTAACTATCTTAGGTTATGCTGCAATAAACTCATTGTAATTAGAAAATACTACAAGTCAAAATTGCAGTAGTTAGTTTCTACTGAGAAGTTTATTGCTTTCATAGCTTGGTAAAGTAGAAATATTCCTGGTTTCACTATCAAGTTTGGAAGTATCTATACTTTTAAAAGTCAGGTTTTCTATACCGCTAAGGGTTCCATGCTTTGGGCTGGAGAGAGCGAGTAAAGGGGCTTTGCATGTGGTTGACCTCAGTTTGATCACCAGAGCATGACCAGGAATGACATTTAATCACAAAGCCAAAATCAATACCTGAGCACCACCAGATATGACCCCTAACCCCAAATAAATAATGATAAATAACAGTGTGTTCCATGTGCAAGACATCAGATTACTCAATTTAGTTAATGAATCAAAAAGAGCAAAATGTCAAAGTAGTAAAAAAGTAACTACTTAATTTACCACATTTCACCAAATAATTATTATATTTTATGCCAATTATTTTTTCCTTTAAAAAAGAGAACATGTAACCAGTATGTGTAACTTTTTTAAGGGTTATACACTAATTGTTGAACTGAAAAAAAAAAGTACAATGACTGTGGGAGGGGATGATTATGATGGGATAAGGTAAACAAGTTATCAATAGTTAAAAAGAACAAATCTTGGGCTGGAGCAATAGCACAGCAGGTAGGGCGTTTGCCTTGCACATGGCCGACCCGGGTTCAATTCCCAGCATCCCATATGGTCCCCTGAGCACCGCTGGGGGTAATTCCTGAGCGCAGAGCCAGGAGTAGCCCCTGTGCGTCGCCGGGTGTGACCCAAAAAGAAAAAAAAAAAAATCTTGGGCTGAAGAGACAACTCTCGTGATAAAAGCACATGCAAGGCCTTGGCCCCAAACCCAATCCCACTAGGTCCATAGTACTGGGAGAGGGCCATGGTGTGCCCCTGCACTTAAAAAATATATTTTTTTCTTAAAAAACTAAAAAAAAAAAAAACAGAATGCTCTCAGTTACATAGACTGAGACATAGACAAACACAAACACAAAAGATTAAACTTTATGCATTTATAGTTACTTTACAAGGCCAAAATGAACCCAAGACTCCAGAACTCATGCTCTCTCTTTTTTTTTTCATGGTGCTAAGATCTACAGCGTCCACCATACAAGTTAAATGATCTACTACACAGCTACACCACCTGCCTGACCTCCTCTTTTAACCCCTACGAAAGTACTAATCCCTAAGTGGGATAAAAACTCTTAATAAGGTATTTTTATAATTCAATAAACAAGAAAAATTCATCTAATACAAAATTTTTGCCTCAATTTAAAAGCAAAATGCAACATACATATTAAATAGAAAGTGAAATATTCTAGATATCAGTTTCATATCTATTTGTTTTGGCTTTCTAAGCATAAAACCCATTTTTACTAATTATTTTTTGGTAAAATGTACAAAAATAGATGAATTCCATGAATATCTACTACCACTAACTGACTCTTTGCAGAGACTCTGCTTCCCCCATTCTACACTATTCTGAAATAAATGTCCAGCACCAATTGTAAATATTTCAGTGAATACTAAAGAATTACTAGGCACTATTTTTTTTTTATTATTTTTTATTTTGGGCCAACCTCAATGATGCTCAGGGCTTCCTCCGGGCTCTATGCTCAGGGATAACTCCTGGTGGAGTTGTGGGGACCATATGGGATGCAGGGGATCAAACCCAAACCCAGGTCAGCCACATGCAAGGCTAGCACCCTATCCACCATACTATTACTTTGCTTGAATTGGGTATTTTCTAAAACCATGACAATACCTTTTAAAAAATTGCATTCAAATTTCTATTGCATTCAAATTTCTAGCAATCTCATGAACTTTTTTGGTACCAGGAACTAAATGTCACACACATGCAAAATATATGTTCTATCACTGGCCCCCATAAATATATATGTGTGTGTGTGTGTGTATATATATATATATATAATATATATATTATATATATAACATATGTTTAAAATATGAAGACTGGTTTGGGGCCCACATCCAGGAATGCTTAGGGCTTACTCTTGACACTGTCTAGAAATCACTTTTAACAGTTTTCAGGGAACCAAATGTGGTTCTGGGATTCAAACCCAGGTCAGCAGCATACTAATTTTATTATCTCTCGGTCAACCATAAACCGATTTATAAAAGGTCTGTTTAAATTAGGAGGTAAACATGTGACTGCTTGATATAGCTCTTAAATCACTCAAGCTACAGTAATGGCTCTCAATGTGGGCGTCATTTTGCCACTGTAGAACAACTCACAATGTAAGTTACTAGAATTTAGTGGGTAAAGGCTACAATGCTTTTAAACATCCTATATACAATGGACAGATTCCTTAAAACAAAACTTGTTAACCCAACATGTTAACAGAGCCATGGTTGAAAAACTCTCATATATGTTTCGTCTATTCTTTTTTTTTTCTTTTTTGAAGCCAATTAAAGAAATCAAGTTGTAAAATTCATAAAAATTTTTGCACACCTGGACTTTTCTGATTATAAACAGTGTTATTTGAAATATCTGTTGTTCTTTAATTTCTGTAAATTGATAGGTAGCAGTTCTATAAATTGGTTGATAAACTTATCTACGAACTTAATCAAACTCAGATGTTGTTCATAAAAAGTTGGCAGAAACAAGGCTATTTAATTTAATATCAATGGTGTATTTTTTCAGACATAGTAGTGTCTATAAGTCAATGTCCAGTTCAAGTTTATCAGCAGTTACAAAACATTAATTCATTCTTTTTCACTTATTTTTTTTCTTTTTTTTTTAATGTAGGAGTACTGCCAGTCATTAGGCTGATTGAATTGGACATGAACTCCACCTTACTTTATTTTTTTTCTTTTTTATAAATTTATTTATTGAATCACTGTGAGAGCAGTTACAAAGCTTTTGGGTTTAAGTCTCAGTCATACAATGATGAAACACCTGTCCCTTCACCAGTGCCCATTTTCCACCACGAAAAACCCCAGTATACTCCCCATCCCACAACTTCCCCCTACCTGTGGGGCAGATGATTCCCACATTACTCTCTCTCCACTTTGATTTCATTCAATACTTCAACCCCAGACCCACTATTATTATTTCAAATTTTACCCCAACACTCAGATCTGCCGAAAAGGCAACTGTAGACAATTTGTTTTCTATTGCTGGTTATAAATAACATATGATGTCACGCAGCTGCAATGACATTTTTGGAATTCCGAAATGTTAACAATTAAATCTGAAGGGATTTCTACCAAAACCTGCTGGATTCCAAGATTTGTTCCTGAGTCTCTAGGATCATGGCCATTAAGGCGCTTGATCAGGAGCCAGAGAGGTCGTTCGTGGACAGCAACTCAGGATCTCATTGGGGAGGAAAGGGCCAGCTCCACCCCCATCCCGTGAGGCCCCAAGTGTCTCATCACTACAGGCCCAAACCTGACTTTCCAATGGCCTCTTGAGGATGGTAGCCACTGAGCCTCCAGGAAGAACAGACCAAGGCATAAAACCTATTCCCACCTGGGGTGGGGCCAGTGCCGGTAACCTACTGTGGGGACCGGACGCATCTCTGCCAAAAGACACTGGGTTCCAAGATTTCTGAGTCTCTTGGATCACCTTTTTCACTTATCAACTGGAACCACCATCTCCGAATGCAACAGTTATATATACCTAGGTCGAGAAATCAACATGATGAATGACCTGGCACCTGAGTTGTGCAGGAGGAAGAGAGCGGCTTGGAATGCCTTCAAGAGCGTTGAAGAAATAACTAAAAGGACAAAGAACCTCCAGCTACGAACACATCTCTTTGATTCCACTGTTCTTCCTGCATTAACATATGCCTCAGAGACCTGGACCCTACGAAAACAGGATGAGAACGCTATTCGGGTCTCTCAAAGAGGAATCAAAAGAGCTATGCTTGGAATATCACGATTCACTCAAATGACAGATAGAATGCGGAGTTCTGATCTTCATCAAAGCTCAAGAATCAGGGACGCTGTCTCATTTGTCAAGACATCAAAAATCAGATGGGCTGGACACGTAATGAGGTTTACAGACAACCGCTGGACTAGAGCCATTACTGATTGGATTCCACGGGACATCAAAAGATCACATGGACGCCCAGCTACAAATGGTCACACTTCTTCGTCAAGACCCTGAATGATCAGTTTGAGGCTCTGCATGTTCCTAGAACGAACAGATACCATTGGGCTACGCTAGCACGCAACCGGGATGACTGGAGACGTTACTGGCACCCGCTCGAGTAAATCGATGAATAACGGGGATTAAGTGATTAAGTGATTAACTGGACTATTTCTAACAATAACTTCTGATTACTTAATAGTATAGTTTATGCGGTAAAATAAACTAAACTAAACTGGAAAGCCAACCTGTTCAAGTTATTCTTATTGAATCTCAAATTTTCAAAATTTTTTCAATTTTAAAATTAAACAAATTTCAAAACGTTTAAATGTGGATTCTAGTTAAACTAAAATAGTAGCACTGTAGCATTGTCCTCCCGTTGTTCACTGATTTGCTCGATAGGGCCCAGTAATGTCTCCATCGTGAGACTTCTTGTAACTGTGTTTGGCATATTGAATACGTCACGGGTAGCTTGCCAGGCTTTGCCGTGCGGGCGAAATACTCTCGGCAGCTTACCAGGCTCTCGGAGAGGGCGGAAGAATCGAACCTGGCTCGGCCAGGCTAGCCACGCACAAGGCAAATGCCCTACCGCTGTGCTATCGCTCCAGCCCACTAAAATAGTAATATATTATATTTACTCTCATATATACCTTTATAGTTCCTTGCCTCTCAATGTTAATATAATCCCAAGTCATAATTCCCCTTCATTTTGGGGGGTTAAGCTTATTTAGACTTTGCCTTGCATGTGGCTGACCTGGGTTCAATTCCTCCGCACCTCTCTGAGAGCGTGACAAGCTACCAAGAGTATCTTGCCTGCATGGCAAAGCCTGGCAAGTTACTCGTGACGTATTCAATATGCCAAACACAGTAACAACAAGTCTCACCATGGAGATGTTATTGGGCCCACTCGAGCAAATCAATGAACAATGGGCGGACAGTGCAGTGCAGTACTTGTTAGCAAAAATAGTTGTTTTGAATGTGATACTTCAGAAATTCATGATTTTATAGGTTCTGGAATGTTATTTACTAAAGTAACAAAACATTTTTAAATGTTGGTTATTATATTACGATGATCTTTGAATTTTTGAGCCATTCCCAGCAGTGCTCAGAACTTGACACTCAGAGAACACTCTTGGTCATGTTCAGGGACCACATGGGTTACCAGGGCTCAAACCAAGGTGCCGCATGCAAGTCAAGTGCCTTAACCTCTATTACCATTACTCTGACACCTTTGGTTTTCAAATTTACGATGAAAAGCATGAGATATATGAGGTAAGAAAAGTTCTAAGAACTGTGACAAAAAAAAAATTATATTCTTAACAGACAAATGTTGCAGGGAAGATTTTACAATTAGAGCTGGGGCACAGGAGTATATACATAGCTCTATCTTTACTATTACGTGTAGATGTAACTACTGTTTAATTTCATGAATGGAAAAGTGAGATTTACACTTAATCTATAATCACCACTATTTTTTTTATTTCTAATGATATACTTGTAAACAGAAAGATTTTCTTCCTCTTGCGTTTCAGGTCACATCCAAAAACCAAAGGGGGGGGCAGCTGGAGAAACAGCACAGTCGGTAGGGTGTTTGCCTTGCACGTAGCCAACCTGGGTTCAATTCCCAGCATCCCATATGGTCCCCTGAGCACCGCCAGGAGTAATTCCTGAGTGCAGAGCCAGGAGTGACCCTTGTGCATTCCCAAGTGTGACCCAAAAAGAAAAAAAAAAAAAAACCAAGGGAGTTCACTGAGAACTACTGCTCTGGGCTCTGTACTCACCCCCAGACTCCTCTAGTGCAAAGAAAGGCTCTGGCACTTTGAGCTATTTCCCCAATCTCTAAATTCTTAAATGTCTTTTTAAGTCTACTTCCTGTACTTCAAAATATCAAGTACACATTGCAAAACAGGTAGTTAGAATGACTCTAAATATATTCATCAACAACTGCAATGTAAGTTATAATTTCATACAAAGGAACATTTCTAATGGTTTGACAAGTCCAATCAATCAAACTTGTGCAATTGCAAATTATACATATATGGAGAAATAAACTTACCAATATATCTGAGCCAACATGCTGCTTCCCCTTTTCTTGATTTGGTCCTAATACCAATTTTCCAGTGGAAAAAAAAGGTGTGTCCAATGTTTTATATACTTTCAACTCACCATGTTGAACCAAAAACTGATAAGAATCTCGTTGCCTTATAAGATCTAAGGAAAAATAGACAAACCCCAGCAATGTTATTGCTCAATAATATAAAATGCATAGACATATGTAATAGCTATTTCTAGAAAATAATAAAAAGAACATAGAAAAACAGAAGTAAATAGGAAAACTGATACTGGTTAATTACTCAGGCTGGTGTGTTAAAGGTTAAAATCCACCTAGACAGAGGCTTCCTGGCGAGATTCCCAAGGCCTCTTTCAAAAACATTTGGGAAAAAGTTATCCTGTGAAAGCCCTTTTACAGATAAGTCAATCATCAGTATGCACAGTTCCATCTGACTTTGCAAATAACACTGCATTCTTTTTTTTTTTATTGCTTTTTGGGTCACACCCGGCGATGCACAGGGGTTACTCCTGGCTCTGCACTCAGAAATTACACCTGGCGGTTCTCGAGGGACCATATGGGATGCTGGGAATCGAACTCATCAACTGATTCTAGAGCAAGAATGCCAGAGCTCAAATACTGTCTCTCAAAAGAAGTGTGATCCTATGTAAAAATCATACTATCTTTCTATGCCTTCATTCTTTTTCTATAAAATGAGAAACTAACACTGATTTATGTCAAGAGTTTTAAATATCAGATGACTTAAAGCATGTGAAATTATTTCAAGCAGTCTGGCAATATTATACAAGTTTCAGTATAAACAAAGATAATGGTAGCATTATTTCTATTATAGCCCAAACAGAAAACAAAGTTAGCTAAAAGACAACAAAGAATTCGATGTTTAAATTAAATAGCTTGCTACTGAACAACCAGTGGCTTAGAGAAGAAATCAAAGAGGAACTCAAGAGATTCCTGGAAACAAATGAGAATGAAGACATGAGTTACCAAAACTTGTGGGACACAGCAAAAGCAGTGTTAAGAGAAAAGTTTAATGCTCTACAAAGTATTCATCAGGAAGGAAAAAAGAACCCACTTAAACAACCTTTTGGAAAATTCATTTTGGAAAATGACCAACGAAAGGAGCACATACCAGGGAGGAGGAAGGAAATAACAAACTTAAAGCAGAAATAGGTGAGCTGAAATCCCAAAAAACAACCTGAAAGAATAACACAACCAAGAGCTAGTTCTTTAAGAAAATCAACAAGATCAATAAACCACTAACAAAATTCACAAAGATAGAGAATTCTAATAAAATGAATCAGAAATGAAAGAGAGGACTTCACAACAGAAATCACAGAATTCAAAGGACCATCAGAAATTACTGAGAAACTTTATGTCACAAAATAAGAAAACCCTGAAGAAATGACTGCATTCATTTGTGGGATATAACAAAACACAGTACAAGACCAATACCCAAGAAGAGTAAAAACACAAACCAGGATGATTAGTCCAGGTTGGAAGCATGCCTCAGGTGCTGAAGGAGAAGGCAGTTGGGATAGAGAAGGAACCCCTATGGCAGTGATAATTGGAAATGATCACTCTAGATAAGAACTGCGTGCTGAAAGCAGGTAAAGGGACAAACATGTTAACTTCTCAGTATCTGTGTGGCAAACCATAATGCCCCAAATGCCAAAATGGAAGGGGAAAGAAGAGAGAGAAGAGAGAGGAGATAGAGACAAAGAGTGAAGGGGGAAAGATACAGGAGAAGAGGGGGGAGAGAAAGAGAAAGAGAGAGAGAGAGAGGGAGAAAGAGAGAGAGAGGGAGAGAAAGAGAGAGAGGGAGAGAAAGAGAGAGAGAGGGAGAGAAAGAGAGAGAGGGAGAGAAAGAGAGAGAGAGAAGGAAGGAGGGAGAGAGTAAAAGGGAATGCACCGGCCACAGAGGCAGGCAGGGTGGGGGTGGTTGTGGGGGGGAGGGATACCGAGAACATTGGTGGTGGAGAATGGTCACTGGTAGAGGGATGGGTACTCAATCATCGTATGACTGAAATGTAAGCACGAAAGTTTTAAGTCTGTAACTGTACCTCAGTGTTTCATTAAAAAATAAAAATAAATTTTAAAAAATCAGAGAGACAGAGAGACAGAGAGAGACAGACAGACAGAGAGAGAGAGAGAGAGAGAGAGAGAGAGAGAGAGAAGGAGGGAGGCAGGCAGGCATTCTGGGTTCATTGGTGGTGGGAAATATGCACTAGTGGAGGGATGGGTGTTGGAACATTCTATGACTGAAACAAGAGCATGAACAGCTTTGTTCATGTGTATCTTATGGTAGCACTGTCCTCCCATTCTTCATCGACTTGCTCAAACAGACCCAGTAACGTCTCCATTGTGACACTAGTTACTGTGTTTGTCATATCAAATAAGTCACAGGGAGCTTGCCAGGCTTTGCTGTGCAGGCGAGATACTCTAGGTAGCTTGCCGGGCTCTCCGAGACGGGCAGAGGAATCGAACCCAGCTCAGCCGTGCTGTCTGCGTGCAAGGCAAACACCCTACTGCTGTTCTATTGCAAGGGCATCAAAAAAAAAGAAAAAGAAAAAGAAAAAAAAAGAAATAAAAGAAAGGAGGTAGACCTATGATCAAGTCAGCAGTATGTCCTTAATATGAACTCCTGATCTTACCCAAGAGTATACTCTCTTTGGTTTCTGGGTCCTTTATCATAGTTGGCTGTAAAGGATCTCCTAGCTGTATCGCCAAATTTTCAATTAATTTTTGAACTGCAAAAGAATTATTATTGAAATACAAAATAAAATTCTCTTAAATTTAAATATACTCAGAATGAAATACATTTATGGATAAGTTACAAGTAATAGTGAATAGTCAGAGGTATAATAATCTCTTATAGTTATAAATGATCACTGATAAAAATTCAAAATTCAAATATAGAAGCAAATATTGTAAAGTTTTAACTTTCTACGTGCTTATTATAACATACTTGGAACTTAAGTCATCAAAAATTTAAATATTTTGTATATGCTCTAAAAGAGACTACTGGGTATTCTTTTAGAAAATATACAATATATGTCACAATATATTAGGAAAAAAATCCTTATCGTGTTCATTTTAACCATAGTTAGGGCATGAAAAACACAAGTTTATTCTGGTAAAATGTAAATGGGGAAATGTTTTATATAAGGTGATTAATAACTTTTTAAAATAAAGAATAGTATTGGTTTACTTCCAAATGTGGAGAAAAAATTAGTATACTCTGAAAAGTGAATTTACCCTATAGTATTATGTTTGAAGTTTTTAGTGGCAAATTCAAAATTTGCAAAGATTATACTTCTCAAAGCGCTGGTATTTAAAACAAAATCTAGAAGGTATTTTCAGGAGTAAGTTCATACTTCTTTCATCGTCATCGAGACAGATCCTTTTCCTATTATCTTTTTTGTTGACTTTTCCTGTGTTTTCTTTTGTCTTCCTTTTAGATGGTACTGCATCTGGGGACAGTATTCCACCAACCACAAATCCTCCTGTAATTTAACAAAGACAAAGGCAAAGTATCATATTTGGGAAAGTAAAAAGGTTGAAACAAAACTCTTTAAAATTTTCTTTTAAATTACAACACTGAGCTAGTCAAACAATAGAACTATTAACTGATTTCACTTTTATATCTATTATCCTGAATCTCAAAGTGCTGATGAAACATGATTGGCAATCTCTTTTTGCTTCTTGTATTTCTTTGGTTTGGGGGCCATAGTTAGCACTGCTCAGGGCATACTCTTGGCTCTGCTCTCAAGGATCACTACTGGTGGGCTCAGGGGACCATACAAGATGCTGAGGATTGAACCCAAGGAGCTAAATGCAAGGCAAGTGCCACACCTGCTGTATTCTATTCCTCAGGCCATATATATGGGCCAAACAGTTTAACAGAAAAAAACTTACTTAAAAAAAAAATTGAGGGCAGAAAAAGAGATACATGTTCCAGAGATAACAGGAACTTCTCCAGAGAGGAAAAAGCCAATCAACATCTGTTATTTTAGACCAATAGTCACCTGGTGGAAGTTTAAAGACCAAACAAAACACCCCACAAAGACCAGCCTTGAAATTTGTACAGTAATTTACATGTGATTTTAGTTTTTTGACTTAGATAAAATCATCAAAGAAAGGAAACAAATAACACTATAATTTAAAGCAATATACTCACCTCAAATTGTTCCCAGAGGGACAAGAAAATAACTGCATTTGAATCTATTGGAATCTATTCTGATCACATTTTAAGGTAACAATTAGATAAAGTATATAAAAGTGTAGAACACTGTTTGGTACATAACATATATATAAAAGCTTTAACAATCCTTTCTTTTACTGTCAGGCATTTAAAAATAGACTAAATTTTACCTGATGGCCTTACTCGATAATCTACCCGCTCTCCTCGCCAGTATTCCAGCGGTTTCAATCGGACTCTCTTTGTCCTGCGAACATTTGGTGTGTTGGTGGGCAGTACTGTAAATAAATAATTATAATTACTATTTTTTCGTGTTACACAGATGTAACAGGTGATATCAGTACTAGTCATTATTTCCCTTTACATATTGCTTCTTATGATTAGAAGCTAGGAATGTCCAAAATTTAGTAAAAATTATATTCACATTTGGGCTGGAGCAATAGCACAGTGGGTACAGTGTTTGCCTTCCATGCAGCTGACCAGGCCAACTGAGTTCAATTCCTCTGCCCCTCTCGTAGAGTCCGGCAAGCTACTGAGTATCTCGCCAGCACGGCAAAGCCTGGCAAGCTACCCGTGATATATTTGATACACCAAAAACAGTAACAACAAGTCTCACAATGTTACTGGGCCCGCTCGAGCAAATCGATGAACAACGGGAAGACAGGAACAGTGACAGTGATATTCACATTTATCTGGAGTTGTTTCTTTTTCAATAGTAATGACTGACAACAGGCAAACAAATGTAAACGACAGATTTAAGCCTACCTTTAATCCAGACAAGTTTTCTCTAGTTACTTGACGTTTCTGTTTCCTTTTATTTTTTTTTCTTTTAAGAAATTCTATTTGCATGTTTTATCTGCTGTCTATATGTTATTTCCATTAACTTTTTTTTATTATTTTCATCTTTTTGTCATTTTTACTCTAAGGATTTCTTTCATGTCAACATCAGCAACTAAATTTAATTCTCAGCAGACTATCTTTACATTAAGTTTATCTAGTGGCTTTTTAAAATGAAATAGTATGTAGTACATTTTTTAGTACGACAAAGTCTATGCGTTAATTAAATCTCTGAAAGTGTCTATATTTCTTATTAATACTGATAAATGGGATTAAAGAAAGATTACTGCAGGTCAGGCACTTGTCTTGCATGCAGCCGACCTCCTTTAATCCCTGACACCTAAAGCACCACCAAGAGTGATGCCTGAGTAGAGCCAGGAGTAAGCCCTGAGCCTTGCTAGGTGTGTCCCCCCACAAAAGAAAAAAAAAACACACTCTTGTATGAGTTTGGGGATATGGTTCAAATGGATTCGCACATGTCAACATGTACAAGACTTGAGTTTATTATCTGGTATAACATAGCAGCCTGAACATCACTTGATTGTGACTTCTATTAAAATTATTATCCACCTACTACAAAAGCTCTAGTACAGCAGAATTGACCTATTATTATGCTTGCTATTTCTCCCTCTGGTGGCTGGAACCTTTGCTCAATAATGTTTTTATTTCTTTGCTTACCACTAACCTTAATCAGCATTACATTCCAAGAAAAGCATTATTTACATCCAGATACCTGTCCCCCTTCAAATGAGCCTACAAAATAAAAGATTATGGAGTTTGGGCTGATGCTATTAAAGAGAACTTTACTCAAGTTAGTTCTGTATATACAATCACAGGAACACCACAGCCTCAGAGCCTAAAAAAATCACTTTAATCACACAAAGGTGGAAGTTCACATGATATTAACTAACAAATTTCTCTTTGGACATTCTCTGGAGTTTCAATAGCCTCAATGTGATCTGTCCATGAGCTCAACAGCTGCCAAGTCTGCCGACCTGGTGTTCTGTTTAGGAGGAAACTGGATAAAAATGGTAGGGAAAGTTGTTAAGAATGCCATCTACTTAGTACATGTTCTATAATTTTTCAAGTATGTGTTTAAGACCTGTGACCATAATGCTCACAACTATGTGATAAAGAGCCAATGGCTGACAGTTTACAGACAATGAAGAAACTTAGGGTCCAATGATAATTTACAGTGAAAATCAAAAAAACTACCAAGTCTTATTAAATCTACCTACTAATCCAAGTAATATTTCTCCCTGCTTGAGGAAAACTCATATTCAGAAACATGATTTAGAAAAAATATTATAAAAAAAAATCTTACCTAATTTATGTTGTATTTTGTTTTCTGAGACTTCTTTAAATCCTTTGACCTTTGAGTCATCTGTAAAATTTAAGATATAATTTCATGAACATTGTATGTTGCTTGGTGACCACTTCAATATAAGTATTTGAAATAAAAATTGACTTGACAATACATTTCATTATTCCTTTTGCTTTTCACTGTTGCGGAATAAAGGCTGACAAAAAAATATTTTCTATTGTGCTCAGAGAGAGAGTACAGCGGCTATGCACTTACTTTGCACATGGTCAATCTGGGTTTAATCCCCAGCATCCCATATGGGCACCCGAGCACCACCAGGAATAATTCCTGAGCATCACCAAGTATGGGTTCAACACAAAAAAAAACCAAAATTGCTACAGGGGCAGGAAAGATAGTATAAGGGCTACAATACAGCAGACCACCAGCACCATATATGACCATATAGGGTCCTAGGAGCCCTGCAGGGTGATCCCTGAGCAGAATTAGAAGTACACACTGAGTAACACCAGGTGTGGTTCAAAAACAAAACAAACAAAACATACAGACACATAAACACATGGGTTTTTCTTAAATGTAGCTCACTGGTAGTTGTACAAACACACACCAACACTATACCCTACTATGAAATTAATTCAGGAAAAATTTTTGCCTTTTCATAATCAAATAAAAAGGAAAAATACATAAAGCATTTAATTTAAAGGTGAAAAACAGTTAAGATAAATCCATAAGAAGAAAAGCAATATGAAAGGAAACTGAATTATAGATATGGAAAATAAATTATATTACAAACACCCAACTCTTTAGAGAAATGAAAGTTTTAAGAAAATTTCTTTAAGATAATTTAAAAACTTTATTTGGAATATTTAAATACACTCAAAATAGAGACAAATGATGATGAATTTGATCTATCATTCAGCTCCAATAATCATAAGCACATGGTTCCTCTTGCTTCATTTATATCCATATTAGCTCAACATTTTAAAATGCTAGAGTAGGTATATTAAGTATAAATTATTTTATTATATTCTCTATCACAGAAAAGACTCATTCATCTCTCTCATTCTTCTCTTTCCCCTTCTCTTGCAGTTAGGTATAATGTCTTAGAAGTCTCTAATCATATAGCTGGGTTTTAAAAAGAATAGACACTTTGGGCTGGAGAGACAGTACAGCAGGTAGGGCATTTGCCTTGCATGTGGCTCACCCGGGTTTGATCCCTGCCATCCCATATGGTCTCCCGAGCATCTCTAGGAGCCTAGGTGCAGAACCAGAAGTAACCCCTGAGCATAGCTGGATGTGACCAAACAAACAAAAAAAAAGAAAAAAAGAAAAAGAAAATGAGAAAATGAAAGAAAAAAAAAGAAAAACTAGGCACTTCATACACATTAGGAGTTGGTAAAAATTTTAATGAGGCACAGAATAGCTTGTTACACATAATGACATAAAAATCAAAACTGTTAAAAAAAAAACGCAGAAAATACACAATAACTCACCAGAACTTTCAAAAGCTTCTTTATCATCCACATCAGAATCATTCTTTGCAGACATTACATGATTCTTGATCCTAGAAGGTCCACTTAAAAAAAAGTACAAAATTAGAATATAAATATGCATATATCTCTCTATACACATACATATATATATTTATATACATTCTCTCTTCCTCTCTCTCCCTCTTTCTCTAATGTATCCTAGTTTTCTAAAGAAACTACCAGAAGTTTCCCTTTTATTAAAAAAAAAAAATGGTTTACTTTAGGTCACCAAAGCATACTCACAGATCACCAAAAACATACCTGCTGCATATTACAAACTCTATACAACTAAATCCCAAGCTGTCAAAAGTGACACTGAATTTTATAACCTTTGCTCTAAGGGCTAGAGCATACGCTTTATGTGAAGAATCCCCTGCCTTGCTCCATAGCACTGCATGGTAGTGTAAGCACCACTAGAAGTGATCAAAAAAAAAAAAACAAATTTTTTAAAAATAACTTTTAGATCAGTTTTGAAGTCAATTCAACATTCTTTGAAGTCAATTCAACATTCTTTGAAAAGCAATAAATTATCATAAAATTACAAATAATTTAGTGCATCTTAAAAAACAATGCAAGGGCCAGAGTGGGAGTAGCACAGTTAAGGTGTGCTGCCTTAGGAGCAGTCAACTCGGGCTCAATCTCTGGCACTGCAGGACAGGCCTAGTGGTCCTATTCCTCAAACTGTAAAGCAAGTTATCCCACGAAAGTCTGAAATGCTAATAATTCACCATACTTTAAAAAAATACATCATATTTCAGACATTATTAGAAAATTGGTTCGAGCCAGAGAGAGAGTACACTGGGTAAGATGTGTGCCTTGCACACAGCCAACATATGGTCCTCCAAACACTGCCAGGAATAAACCATCAGTATCCCAGAGCACCCCTCTGAATATGGCAAAAAAACTTGGGAGGAAAAAAAAGTAAGTGGGATCTCAAACCAATAGGTCATGTGAACAAGTCACCTTTGAAGTGTATCTTCCAGTTCCACTCTAGTCTTCCAAGACATGCAAATTAAGTGGCTATGTCGCCCACACGGCAGAGCCTGGCAAGCTACCAGTGACATATTCGATATGCCAAACACAGTAACAAGTCTCATGATTGGAGACGTTACTGGGCCCGCTCGAGCAAATCGATGAACAACGGGAGGACCGTGACCATGACCGTCCACTGCTACACCTTCAGTGAATGTCTGAGCCAGGATATTTAGCTTCTTCTAGACTTGACTCATATCACCAGTCAAACAATAAGTGTATGGAAGCCATTAGCAAAATTAAAAGTATTCTTCTGGAGTATGCTACTTAGCAATGGGTAACTAACCCATTATCCTTACAATAGACTCATACCTTTCCTGAAGAACTGAAGTCTGGGGCTCTCCAGAATCTGAGTCAGACTCTGATGGTGCCATGCATTCACTGGTCTGAGATGGAAGATAAACACTTTGTATAGCAATACTTCTAGCTTGATCCTCTGAACTGCTTTCACTTCTGTGAAAATTAAAAATAATTGTTTATGGGGGCTGGAGTGATAGCACAGCAAGTAGGGTGTTTGCCTTGCACACAGCCAACCCAGGTTCAATTTCCAGCATCCCATATGTTCCCCTGAGCACCGCCAGGAATAATTCCTGAGTGCAGAGCCAGGAGTTACCCCTGTGCATTTCCAGGTATGACCCAAAACGCAAAAAAAAAAAAAAAGTTTACATTTACTCTGTTTGTTGCTGGGCCACATCCAGCAGTACTAAGGGCTTACTCCAAGTTCTGTACTCATGGAACCATATGTGTGGCTAGAAACAGAACCAAACCAAGGTCAGTCTTACATAAGCCAAGTGCCATAACCCCTGTACTACGTCTCTGCTCCTTACATAAATCTTATTTACATTTCAACCAATGAAGGCATATACCACTGACTATAACAAACATTTGTTATTGTTTCATTCAATTGATTCGTGTGTTATCTCTAACACCATGAGTGAAATGATACTATTACTCCATCTGGCTTATTTTCACAGTGCATTAATATCCCCTTATGTCTATTCATGCTGTTGCAAACAGGAGGATTTCATCTTTCTTTGTAGCTCAATAGTATTACTTTTTGTTTATCTATACGTATATTAGATCTCCATTCATCAGTTGATAGGCACTTAGGTTGTTTCCAGTTCTTGGCTATTGAAAATAATGCTACAATGACATAGGAGAAGTCTCTAATCATATAGCTGGGTTTTAAAAATAATAGACACTTTGGGCTGGAGTGATAGCACAGTGGGTAGGGTGTTTGCCTTGCACGCAGCCGACCCGGGTTCAATTCTTCCACCCCCTCGGAAAGCCCAGCAAGCGACTGAGAGTATCTCGCCCACACAGCAAAGCCTGGCAAGCTACCCAGGATGTATTCAATATGCCAAAACAGTAACTACAAGTCTCACAATTTGTTGTGAGACATTACTGTTGCCCGCTCAAGCAAATCGATGAAAGGGAAGACAATGCTACAGTGCTACAGACATAGGAGAGCTTATAGAATCTTTGGATTAGTATTTTTCCCCCCACTTCTTCCCATATGTTTCCCTTCTCTCCAAACTCCAAATAGGCTTTCTTAGCTATCAACTCCTGAATTATCTCTTATCCGCTAATAACCTTCCATGAAAAAGAAGGTATATTACAGAGTTATTAGTTCAATTTAGAAATGCAACTCCGTGGGGCTGGAGAGAGAAGTACTGAGGGTAAGGGACTTGTCATGCATGTGGTCAAACCAGGTTTGATCCTAGCATCCCAAAAAAATGCCCCAAGCACAACTAGAAGTGATTTCTGAGTGCAGAGCCAGAAGTAAACCCCTAAGCACCAATAGGTATGGCCAAAAAATAATTTAATTAAAAAGTAAAATTTATAAAAACAACACTCATCACACTAGATTGATGAATGAAAATTCACTGAAAGAGTCTAGCAAATGCTCAACACATAATACCTGGCATTCAAAATGTGTAAGGCAGACAGGGCCCTTGCCTTCCATGCAACCCATCAGGGTCTGATCCCTGGCACCCTAAATGCTCTGCCAAGCCTGCCAGGAGTGATCCCTGAGTGCAGAGCCAGGAGTTATCCCTGAGCACTAGATGAGACATCCCCCCTTCCCCCCCACCCCGAAAATTTACTAAGATGCTAAGTTTTCTGTCACAAAGAGTAGAGTACTGTAGTTAGTTGACATCCACATCCCATGTACTATCATATATTCCAGAGCCTGAATTTACTACCACATCTATCAGACAGCAGAGGCTTTTATGCTAATACTATCTCTTCTCTACCAATGGTTAAGTGACAAAATCTGACTATCAAACACTGAGTGATCAAAGTACTGATTATATTATACACATTAACAGACATTACTCTGCATGTTGAAAATTTTTCTCCTCGGCCAGGTCTTTACTTTCCAATGACTTCTGGGAACAATTAGAAATTTCATCATGATGAGAAATTTTTCCAGAGTCTTTAGCATCTAAAACTTTCTGTGGTCTTGAGCTGCGCAGAGTATCTTTCTTCAGTCTTTTGTGTGGAATGGATTTTTTCCCAACACTCCTGGATGAGTCTTCTGCTTTGTTACCAGGCTTTTGTCTAGTGTTGTGTTGCACAGGCAACTCATTTACTGGAGAACTGCCAACATCAAGATCTGAAGAATTCAATGATAACTTCAAGTCAGCATAATATTTATCCAGATTATCTGGCTCAATAAAATATCCCATGAGTGTAAAATTTTTTTCTTACCCATTTATTTAAAATGCTCATTTTAACACAGTTCAGTTTCAGGCAACCTGATAATTTTCTGGACTACTTAACAGTAAAAGTTAATATTTCAGTATATACTACCTCCTATTATGTCAATCTCTTTTAATCCTCACAAATTAATAAGGCAGAGGTACTGGTAAGCATATGTTACAGGGCAAAGGTTTTCAATTTATTGCACATACTACGCTGTTTTCAAAACATATCCTGTGCCTCCCTGGAAACACACGTTTTTAACTTGAAAAACAAAAACACAGAAAGCACATCTCTTCTCTCACACTGTACCTGAGCCTACCACCACCACCTCAACCCTTCCAGTGTTCCCCAGGGGGGCAGGAGCACCTACTTAGGAAACGCTTAAAATCTGAGTAAGGTTATTAATTCCTAAGCAATAAGCATCCTTTAATGTATACTTGTGCAAAAAAGTTTTAAACTGGATATTTGCCTCTTTCAGAGTCTGGAATTGTATGTTTTAAGCAAATGGCACCTCACTGATCTTTCTCAATAGAAATCCTACATTATTTATCCAAAATAATCAACTTGTCAAGTTACTTATCCCTGACAAACAACTTGTCATTTATTTGTTACAACTTAGTGCTAGAGTGTAAATCCACTTCTGAGTCAGAGATCTTGGAAGTTTATATTCAATTTCCTTCAGGTTTTGTCTATGTACTTTTCTCAAGAAGGTTGATTTTGCTCTTACCTTTCACTACAATAAATCAGAATCATGAGCATAATTATCAAGCAACAACGCCTGGCATCTATATCATTCTAGTAAATAATACTTCCACTGATCAGCTGACTTTAATTTTGACCGGGGATTTTTTCCGAAGAGTAGGATTATAAATCAAAACAAACCAAATCATTGAATAGAATGATTTTTTATGAGCATCCACCATAATTAAACTAAAAACACTTTGGAGGCCAGAGCGAGCTCAGTGGTCAGGACAGTGTGCTAATGCACCCAATGGGACCAAGTTCAAACCTGGGGCCTGCACATCCTCCCCATAACAGCTAACAACCAGGAGTGACCCTCAGTTAGTGACCCTCAATCCCCCAAGCACCAACAAGACCACAGTCAGCTCTGCATACTCAAGCCTAAGCAAGCACTGAACCCAGGGTCACACGAGCACCACTCAGGAGCTATGGTTCTTCCTAGCCTGCTTCTTATCCCTTGTATCCCCAAATACTTACTCTGTTCTGATTTTACCACCCACCAATCAGAAGGCTGCCTGGAAACCCTTCGACTTCGAGTGAGAGTAAAACTGTCTTTTTCAGGTGCAAGTTTGTTCAACTTGGATCTATTTGAAGAATGTTCCCTTTTAGCCTTATCCTTTCTCTCTTTCTTCTTATTTTTTGAGAAAGGAACACTTGTCTTGCTTTTCTTGCTTCCTGAAAAAGAAACCCAGAAAAATTATTCACAACCTGGTAAACCAACAGTTTAAAAAAATCACAACAAATTAAAAGAAAATCCTAATTATAGGAATTTCTTAATTTTATCCTGTAGACTTCCATTTCTGTTTTCTAACAGTTGTTCTCAATGAGATTACTAACTCGATTCTATTAAATGCAAACTTTTACTCTGCTGATAGCAAATGTTCCTTAGGAAAAAACTTTAAATAAGTACATTCTGAAAAGGAAAAATTCCAACTACTTACCAAAGTCCCAAAAGAAAAATAAAAAATCAGAAGTTAATTATTGCCTTTTAAGACTCACAAAATCAGTAATTAAGTAGTAATTAATCTGTTAAGTATAATTTACATATCAGCTGAATTATCAATCACCTGAAAAACTTTGGAATTACAGAATCTTTGGAATTACAGAAGTCACACTTCAGACTTACAAAGTCAATTTATTAATCAGTATTTTATCGATACCCTCAAGGAACTGAACTATACATGCAAGTAAAAAGCACTGTATTCAGTAATTTTCCAAAGTAAACCTCTACAAGGGTAGAGGATGAAATAAGCAAAGCTACATCAAGACACCTTATAGCAATATCTGCTCATTCTTTTGAAAATAAATTATAATATTTGGCAAAACATTAATTTGGGATACAGAGAACTTAATCATGTTTAAAACAAGAGGCAAAGAATCTACTTTAGCAACACTGTGTTAATAACAGTGTCAATCAATACCTTGGAAGTGATTAGAATGGGCTATTTAGAGAATCGCCACAAGTAAAAATTTCTATAGTAAAGATGATTTTTAAATTACTGACAGGTTGCATAGTGGTAGGAGGAAAACCAAACACAATGTCTCAATTGCTGATTAAGATATCCCCACAAGTTCCCAACTGACTTACGCTAGTATGACTGGCAGACAATGACATGCTAAAATGTTCTCACTCGATGTTGCCACACATAGCAGTAAAGAAACCTGGCCAGCGGGCACCTCAATATCCAGAGAATTCTCCAGGCCCCATACCAAGCCAATATCACCGGGAGGTCCCAGATGGGACAGGTGCAGTCTCCCCACTTTCTCCAGATGGAATCCTGGCGACCATGAGCTTCTACAAGCATGGCTCTGGTATGTGGGCACCAGGACTATTCTTCAGAACTGCATGGGGGTGCTGGATTGGGCAGTTCTATCCCGGCTCCCAGTCATCCCGATCCTGGAAGTCACACCCTCAACCCACACCCCGCGCCATCTTGCCGCACACAGCAGTGAAGAAATCTGGCCAGCGGGTACCTCAATACCAGGAGAATTCTCTGGGCCCCATACCAAGCCAATATCGCTGGGAAGTTCCAGATGGGGCAGTTGCAATCTCTCCGCCTTCTCCAGATGGAATCCTGACGACCATGAGCTTCTACAAGCAAGGCTCTGGTATATGGGCACCAGGACTATTCTTTTGAACTGCGCAGCCGCTTATGTGGCCACGCAATCTTTCCTGATATGCAATGCAAGCAATGGAAAGTAAATGATCTTGGGGCTGGAGCAATAGCACAGCGGGTAGGGCGTTTGCCTTGCACGCAGCCAACATGACCGACACAGGTTCGATTCCCAGCACCCCATATGGTTTCCTGAGCACCGCCAGGAGTAACCCCTGAGCACCGCCGGGTGTGACCCAAAAACCAAAAAAAAAAAAAAAAAAAAAGAAAGTAAATGATCTAGCATCTGTCCCTAGAAGGCAGGCTTAAATGGTGGTGGGAAAATTTGAGCAAAATAAAATGCCCAACAGAAATGCATCTGGACTGTGCATTAAATTATGGCGCCATGCTGCCTCGAGAGGGGAAGGGTGTTTGTCCCTCCACCTTTTCCCCCTGACGGCGGCAGCATGGTGGCCAACATCTTTCAGAGCCTAATGGACAGCAGTGACGAGACATGCAGGGCCTCAAGGGATGGGGGGTGGAATCAGCCCTGCTCCCCACCCTGTCAAGGCTCTGATTGCTGCCCACGAATGCCTCCTCTGGTTCCTTAATGACCATGATACCAGAGGCACATAAACCAACCACAGAACCCAGAGGCTTTTTGCAGTAATCCCTCCAGACATTACTAAAATATCAGAAATCCAAAATTTTGGATTTTGAGCGACATCATAAGCTCTTCATTTCAGCAATAGAAAACAAATTATCTAATGATGTCTTTTTGGCAGGTCTGATTGTTGGGGAAAATTCCAAACAATAATGATGGGTCTTTTGTCGTAATATTGAATGTGATCAATGTAGAGAGAGAGAGAGTAAAGTGGAAACCTGCCACACAGGCAGAGGGCCTCTATTGCAAACTACAACACCCAAAAGGAGAGAGAGAGCAAAAGGGAATGCCCTGCTACAGAGGCAGGGGGGGATGGGAGGGATGGGATGGAAGTGGTGGAAGGGATACTGGGATCATTGGTGGTGGGGAATGGGCACTGGTGGAGGGATGGGTACTCGATCATTATGTAACTGGACTGCAAGCATGAAAGTTTGTAACTCATGGTGTTTCACTAATACTCACTAATTGACAAAAACTATAAAATTGTTACTTTATAAGGCAGAAGACTTTGCCATGTGATTAAAGGTAAAAGCCATGAAACAAAGAGGCAGAAATCATCCTGAAATACTCAAACTGACCCAACATATTCTTAAAATGCAGTTAGGAGAGGAAAAAATTGATGGAAGGCAAGAGAATTAAAAATGAGATAAAGCTTCCATTACTGACTGGGCATGTACAAGGGGGAGACACAATTCAGGAAAGAAGGCAACATGAAGAGGTGAGGCAAGAGAAGAAAACTGAATACTCTTGTTGAAACAGAAAGGAACACGACCTTTCCAATGTTTCTTTTTTCACTATTACCGAAACAACCAGTACCAAGAATATACATTGATTTGGGGGCTGGAGTGATAACACAGCAGGTAGGGCATTTGCCTTGCACGTGGCTCACCTGGGTTCGATTCCCAGCATCCCATATGGTCCCCTGAGCACTGCTAGGAGTAATTCCTGAATGCAGAACCAGGAATAACCCCTGTGCATCGCCAGGTTAAAAAGAAAAAAGAATATAAACTGATCTTTTTCTCATGGTTGCCATCACTACAAACTTCAATCACAAGACAATGACAGCACAAGGAAGGTAACCAGTACTTCAAGTCTGCAGAAAAGAATCTCAATTTGTGTTAACCATCCTGGTATCCTCAAGTGTACCAGTGTGGATGAGAAATGATCATATGACCCAAATACAAAGCATTTATAATACTTATATTAGTTCATAATTCTCTGTATCTCCATCATCCATCATCATCCTCCATAAATACTTATGTATGGGTATCCAGACCCCAACAGAATGAGTTTTTTTAATGTAAAGTTATACCTTAGTAATCTTTGTAATTTAGTACCTAATAATACTTAATGTTTATTAAGATAAACGAGTGAATGATGGAACAGAAGTTTAACTTTTATAACTTACTTTTTTAACCCTTTTTTTTCTCTTTTTTGCTTTTTGTGTCACACCCAGCAATGCACAGGGGTTACTCCTGGCTCCTTCACTCAGGAATTACTTCTGGCGTTGTTCGGGGGACCATATGGGATTCCAGGGAATCGAACCCGGGTCGGCCGCGGGCAAAGCAAATGCCCTACCCGCTGTGCTATCGCTCCAGCCCCATTAATCCTAACTTTTGCATTAGGATTCCCCTTTTACTTCTCCTTATTATATATGCTACCATCTTAGAATCTACACAAGTTTCAAATGAGCAAGAATTGATTTAATGTATAAAACAAAGAATTTGGAAAAGACTGCATAGGCTTTGTACAATTAAGTTTTCTTTGCCTCCTTCCCCAAAGTAAAGAGCAGTATTATACAAAGTGATAGAATAATGTTCACAGCTACATTTAATATCAGGACTTACCCACAGGCTGCATCTGTTTTGGTGAAATATGATCACTGCTCATGTTTTCAGATTCTTCCACATTTATGTTGGATTTTCTCTTTAATTTGTCTTGGGTGATATTTGACCTATTTTTACTTTTATCTTCAGTCTGTTTCATATCAACCTGCTCAACTATACTGGTTTTAAAACTGCTTCTCTGGTTTTGTGTCCTTTTCCTTTCAGATACTTTATTCGCATCTTCAGAATACATTTCAGATTTCTCAGATCTATAATTATTTTCCATTTCATCTGTCAAAGCATGATTCCTACCCAATTTCTTTGGTTCAGAGGGCTGAGATTTATCTCTTGGATGAGCTTTAGCAGGAGAGTCGTGTGGCAGAGTGGCAGATCTGGGCTGTTTTTCTCTTGTCCTTTTACTATGACTGAAGGCAACAGTGCCCTCAGCAGGGGACACTGTACACTGTTTCTGAGGCTCAGTCTTCCGAGGTATAGTAATCCATGATTGACAAGCAAAACTTCTGTCTGATTCATCAATTAAAAATTCATCCTCTAACAGCTTCATATCATTTTCAGGAGTTGAATGAGGTGGTGCGTTTACTACACAGTTAACAGGACTAAAACAGAAGTTATAAGAAATAATAACTAACAACAGTAAAGCTTTTACCCCTTCCCTAGAGAAAAAAAATTATCAACCATATTTAGGAAATAAATTCTTCATATATTTTAAAGTACAGTTCATGTCATAATAATTTTCCCTTACCTATAAATATCTTCCCCCCTCTACATTTTTATAACTGATCACATTCATTTAAATACTACTGGGATCACAAAAATCTAGAACTTGAAGGAACTAAAGACATCTATTGATCTAGTATTCCATCATGCATTTTATATATCTATAAAAAGATGAAACTCAGAGGCCAGTGTGACAGTACAATGGATAAGGCATTTGTCTTGCATGCAGCCAATCTGGGTTTAATCCCCAGAACCACATATGGTCCCCCAGGTCTGCCAGGAGTGATCCCTGAACAAAGAGCAAGAAGTAAGTCCTAAAATCTTCCAGGTGCACTCTCCTGGCCAAAAAAGAATGAAACTCAGCAGTAATTAAATATAATATATTGACAGTCAAAAAATGAATGTTATTATTTTATAAACATACATAAATTTATATAATAGATGACTCAGAGCCTAAATTTCTTCACCTCAAAAAATGAGTATAAGATTATGAGTGAGATACCTTCAAATATACTTAGTATTTTAAGAAAACACTATTAGTTCCAGAGTGCCAGTACAATGGGCAGGGCACGTGCCTATCTGCAGGATTCCACAGGGACTCACAAGCCCTGCCGAGAGTAATCCTGAAGTACAGAGCCCAGGATTAAGTCCTGAGTACTGCCAGGTGTGGCCCAAAAGGAAAAAAAATGAGAGAGAGAGAAAAAGAAAGAGAAGGAAGGAAGGAAGGAAGGAAGGAAGGAAGGAAGGAAAGGAGGAAGGAAGATAGGAAGGAAGGGGGGAGGGAGTGAGGGAGGGAGGGAAGGAGGGAACTCAAGTATGTGAAACACTTTCTAAGTTTGAATAATTTAGATATCTGCATCTTCATATGTATTATAAATGTGTAGAAACTGTTATGTTTAGAAATATGTACATATTATAAATGTGTAAAAGAAAATCAACAAAGTATATCTTAAAAGGTAAGCATGTAAGATTAAACAGCAACTCTTCCAATAAACTGGGAATACTTTCTAGAGAAGAATTTAGTCAAAGAGTAGTAATCCAAACTCATTTTAATTTTCCTCCTTCCCTCCCTCTCTCCCTACCTCCCTTTGAGGGGTGGGTGTGTCACACCCAGCAGGGCTCAGGCCTTACTCCTGGCTCTGTGCTCAGAGATTACTCCTAGAGAGGCCAGGGGACCATACATGGTGCAAAGTATAAAGGCTGGTCTGCATGCAAGGCAAGCACCCTACCGACTGTACTATCTCTCTGCCCCTCATTTTCTTTCCTGCAATGAAAAGAACTATGTGCTATCTACAGACTAAAGTAGAAATTAAAAAGCAAAAACTCAAATAAACATCCAAATTCCAAAGGTACCATACAAACTTTTGTTTTAGCCCCTTTTCCCGATTTAACTATGGAAACAAGCATAGTTAATTAGTTAAATAAAAATTTAAAGGCACTAAAAATGAAACTATAGTAGAAAAATTAGATTAACCTATTTGCTACGATGTTCAAAAAGATTATGATATGCCTTCTCTACTTCTATAATCCCTGATGTTATAAACATGCTAAGAAGTAGTATTCTAATAGTATTTTTTAAACATAATTAAGAAAGTTTAAAATTTAACAAAAAACAACAGCACGGGCTGGAGAGCTAAGACAAGGGTTAAGGTGTTTGCCCGGTGTGTGCTCAACCCCAGGTCAGGCCCCAGTATCAGAGTCTCCTGACAGCCCACTGTTACGAAATGCCAGGAGGGGCTCCTGGGCCTCCTGAGTGCCAAACTGGAGTCCCCCTCCCCCCAAATGGAGATGGCACAGGAAAAGAAAAAGGGACATGGGCAAATCAGGGACAACAGCAATCATATCTGTTAACAAACCAGAAACTGAACTACTGGGATGAGTTGAAATCTTTCACAAAGGGAGGGACATGACTGGGAAGAAGGGATCCAACTGGAAGAATGGGGTGTGGGGTGGTTGTACAACTGGGGGATTGGGAGGTCCACTTTCTGTTGATTCTATTATAGAAGACAGATTTCCAGGGGAGCGGAGTAATTTTTTCTTTCTAAAAAAGAGAGGCAGTCTCTGGAAAGAAAGATGGCGGCCGCATGGGAGCCTTGTGGAGAGCAGGTCTGAGCCAGAGGTGGGGGCGCGATTGAAACTTCATGGGGGGGGGGGGGGCGGTCCGGCCCGTCCTTCACGCCCTACCGAGGTCACCAGTTGCCCCCCACGAGCGGCTCTCCGGCACGACCACGGCCCCAGAAGCACAGAAACCAATTTCTTAATCATCTGACTCTCAGTAGAAATACTTCCAGGGTTAATAAACAAAATAGCAGAAATCCAAAACTGCGACATCACTTAATTCTTGAACCCAGCTGTAGAAAGCAAATCATTTCACAATGCTTTTTCAGCATGGCTGATTTCGGGGGGGGGGTAAAGTCTAAATAATAATGGTGCAACTTTTATCGAAACAATGAAGCTAATCAAAGTAGATAGAGTGTTAACTAGAATTCATCTGCCCCACAGGCATTGGGGGGGGGTGGGGGGGTTTATTGGGGTCCTTCGTGGTGAAAAATAAGTATTGGTAAAGGAAAATGTGATTGATATTTGCATGACCGAGACCTAAACCTGAAAGCTTTGTAACTTTTCCCACAGCAATTCAATAAATAAATTAAAAAAAAAAAAAAGAGAGGCAGACCTAAATCAGTGTGGGACCCTCTGTTCTATTTTAAATTAGATGTGAAAGAAAATGTGTTTATTTAGCTTTTATTGCTTTTACTCATCACTTCCTTCTCATTTGCATCATAATAAAGAATGTAGGCACTGTTTTGCAATAGAATATATCTGGGTTCCTTTGTTTCACTATTAAGAATTATATTTTATTTTTGTTTTGTTGTGCCTACATTCTTTATTATGATACAAATTAGAAGTGATGTGTAAAAGCAATAAAAGCTAAATAAATACATTTTCTTTCACATCGAATTTAGCATCTTACTTATAAATGATTCAGCGAGTTATAAGTTAGAAAAAAAAATACCCTCATGGCTGAAGCATAATTTCAAATGAACTGTGTCAAAATCCACTTTTAATGTTAAATACTATTAAGAAACCTTGGATAATGTTTATACAATGTGAAAGAAAAATGTCTCAAAGAGCGTTTTCTTAATGACTCACCTGGCTTTACCTGTTTTCCTAACAGTTTCTAAAAACAAAGCTGAAAAACTTTTTGTAGTTTGTGGCTGACTTTCATCCTCTAACTTTTGCACTGTTTTCTGAGATTTTCCTGACAGTGTCCTTTGTCGTGGTCCTTCGGATACTATATTCTCCATTTCTTTTTTCTCTGAAACATCTTTATCTTCAAAGTTTAGTCTAAGAGATTGAAAGAAAGGCAAGTTAAATGCTCCCAGTTTGTTGAGCAATGTTTTCCTGCAATGATAAGAGACACTACTTACAAAATTTCTTACAGGACTTTAGATTTATAAATGGTGACTTTAGCCCAAAATATACAAGTAAAATGTTAAGATCAATTAAATTTTGCACTTCCCACTTTTTAGAAGTGAGAGAAAATACTGGTTAAAAACTATATACCAAGAAATGTGTACCACTAAAGCATGGTTTCCAGAATTTTGTATAAATGTGAACCATCTGGAGAATCAATACAATACAGATTGACTCACTAGGACTATGGTGGGGGCTGAAATTATTTTATTTCTAAGAAATTTCTTGATGATACTATTGTTCTTAATCCTAAATCACATGCTACAATTTAAATAATAAAATTCTAGCCAGAACTTAATTTCTTGATTCTATGACTCACACAAGTACCTAATCAGAAACTATACTCATTGAACAGGTCCTGCCTTTTTTCCAGAGGTAGGTATTGCAGGACCACAAGATGCTGGTAAACAAACCCCGGCCTTCTGCAAGAAAAGCAGCTTAGCTTCTTCAACTACCTCTCAGCTCTACTCTGCCTCAGGGAGAGACACAGAAAAGGGCCTGGGTTTACTACAACTCATCTTAGCATGCTAATCTTTCCTGACCTAGAAATGGTTTGATACATAATTACTCTGCTATTAAAAATAACAAAATACAAAATGTTTCTCTTTGAAATTTACCCAAAAAACCTCCTCTATTCCCAGGGGGAAAAAAAATTCCCATATAAATTATTAAATACTTTCCCGTTCCCGAGAACCAGGAGTACCAGGAGGTTTACTCCATGGCTTGGAGGCCAGTCGCACACTCTAGGAGTAAAGGCAGCTCAGATAGAGAAGGGAGCACCAAATAAAGGGTGCTGGGAAGATCCACCCAGGATGGGAAATGCATGCTGAAAGTAGACTATAGACCAAACATGACTGCCACTCAATGCCACTTTTGCAAACCAAGCACCCAAAAGGAGAGAGAACAAAAGGGAATGCCCTGACACAGAGGCAGGGTGGGATGGGGAGATGGGGGGTGGGAGGGATACTGGGATCTGTGGTGGTAGAGAATGGACACTGGTGGAGGGATGGGTACTCAATCGTATAACTGAAACCAAAGCAAAAACTTTGTAAGTCTACAACTGTGCCTCATTTATTTATTTATAATAAAAATAAATAAATAAATAAAAACCTTTCCCCTTCCCCTACCCCCAAACCCCCTACCCAGGGCTGGATAGATAGTACAGGAAGTAGGGTGCTTGCCTTTCACGTAGCTGACCCATGTTCTATCCCAATATCTAAGATGGTCCCCCAAACACCGCCATAAGTAATTTCTGAGTGCAGAGTCAGGAACAACCCCTGAGTATCGCTGGCTGTAGCCCCCAAACAAAAACATCCCCAACTTGTCTAAAGTACACTTCAAGGTCCTGCTTACCGAGTATAAACTTATCATGTGCTACTTAAGTGTTTCATGAACATCTGTGATGTCGTTCTCACAGTAAAACATCTCAGTAGTGTAAAATACACAAAAAAATATACTTGAATAGTCACCTTTTTTTGGTTTTAAGAAAAGCTGTACTTGAAGACAGCTTATTTACGGAATTTTCAAAAGTGTAGGCCTCTCTCTTCTGGTCAATAGATACATGAGCATTTTTTAAAGCAGATGTTTTTATATTCAAAATAACAGAAGGTGACCCAACAGATAAATAAAATTCCTCTTTCTCTTTGTCTTCATCATGATGGTCTTTTCTATTTCTCTTTGACATTCTTCTCGAGTCATGGTTATGTTTAGAACCAACATTAGTTGCCAAAATTTTCTCACAAACATCTTGAGTCTGACCTAGAAAAAAAAATGAAGATATAAGTAATTTTTTCCCAATTTTTAATTATAACAATATTAGAATCAATCAAATGTCCTTCCAAAAACATATGACTGATTAGAGAAAGTTTGGTACATCTGCACAATAGAATACTATGCTGCTGTTAGAACAGATGAAGTCATGAAATTTACACGCAAGTGGTTCTATGTGGAAAGTAACATGCTAAATGAAATGAGTCAGAAAGAGAGGGACAGACATAGAAAGACTGCATTCATCTGTGGAATATAAAGTAACAGAATAGGAGATAAACATCCAAGAATAGTTGAGATTAGTACCAGGAGGTTTGCTCCATGGCTTAGAGGCCAGCCGCATATGCTGAGGAAAAGGCAGCTCAGATAGAGAAGGGAACACCAAATAAAGGGTGTTGGGAGGATCCACCCAGGATGGGAGATGCATGCTGAAAGCAGACTATAGACCGAACATGACTGCCACTCAATGCCTCTATTGCAAACCACAACACCCAAAAGGAGAGAGAGAACAAAGGGGAATGCCCTGCCACAGAGGTGGCGGAGAATGGGCACTGATGGAAAGATGGATACTCAATGGTTGTATAACTGAAACCCAAGCACAAAAATTTGTAAGTCTACAAATGTACCTCATGGTGTTTCACTAAAAAAATTTAAAATAAATAAATAAAGTTTGTACTATCTTGCTCCAGAATTTCCTTCTAAATACAAATAAAGTTTTTAAATTAACCAGCGCATATAGTTGAATGGGCATATGTTGAGGAAGGGAAAAAAGGGAAAAAGAATCACTAATCATAGACTTTCACAATTCTGCCTTACTTTGCCTTGCTGATCTTTACCTTGTTGCTCAAACATACGAACCCTTCAGCACTTCTACATACATTGTGTGTGTATGGGTTTACAGTATATATATATATATATATATATATATATATATATATATATACAATACACACACACACACACACTTGTGTGTGTGTGATACCTAGATACACATATATCTGCAAATGTGGAATGTTACCAACCTGAACTGTTATCAGCATTAACTATTCCTTCAGTTAACTGCAGAGTGGCATTTTTATTCTTTGAAGAAACTGAAACTGATTTTGGGGGTGACTTCTGGCACTGACTCTAAAAGAGAAAAACAACAGAGCCACTACACTTAATTATCAATTCAGATAACACATTTGTTTGTAAAATGAAAATATATACCAAATTTTAAAGTTAGCTGGTGGAGTTGTATACTTAAATAACTGCTTTAGAAAAAAAGCTGGTAGAGGTCAAGGATGTGCCTCAGTGCCGTGCATGTGAAGGGCATTCAATCTCCAGTCCCGGTCCAGTCCCGGTCCTCCCATTGTTCATCGATTTGCTCGAGCAGGCCCAGTAACGTCTCCATCGTGAAATTTGTTGTTACTGTGTTTGGCATATCGTATACGTCACAGGGAGCTTGCCAGACTTTGCGTACGGGCAAGATATTCTCGGTAGCTTGCCGGGCTCTCCAAGAGGGGCAGAGGAATTGAACCTAGCTTGGCCGGGCCATCTGCACACAAGGCAAACGCCTTACCGCTATGCTATCACTCCAGCCCCGCAATCTCCGGTATAACCAAAAAAAAGAAAAAAAGAAAAATTGAGAGGCTGGAGGACCAGTAAATCAGGTATTTCTTGCACATGGAGAACCCAAACCCAGCTTTGATCTCTAGCAACTACCACTGTCCTGAGTCCTGCCAGAAATGATCCCTGAATGCAAAGAGAGGAATAAGCCCTGAGCACCACCGGGTATGCCCTCCCCCCCCCCCCCCCGAATAACAGTAACAAAAAACAATTTGGAGTTATCTAGAAAAGGTGAAGTTTCATGTAATCTAGCAAAGAAATACTGCTCTGAATAACAAAGCTATTCTCTAAGAAAACTGGAAAAATTAAGTTACATCACACAACAATAACACAAAAAAATGCATAAATGAATAAATAGCATCAAGTTAACAAAAAATAATAATAATAAAAGGCAAATATGTAATGATTCCATTTAGAGATTTATTCTATGCAAGAAGAGTTAAACAATATGATCACTTAGAGATTTTACCTTGAGGGCTGACTCTTGATTAACATTTGTAGATTTTGCTTTCAGAACATTCCTTCCTTTAACAACTGATCCGGGTGTACGTGTTATGCCAGCCTGTTTAGAATGTTTGTATAAACGATGTGATTTATGATAACAGTAACTTTTTTTCTTTCAGAGAATAGAGAATTTGAAGGGGAAAGTCTCTATGCAATTAGACCACAAAAAAAGTCACAAAAGGCTCGCCCGTGGAGAAAGATTATACACAATTTCTACATTTCTCTGCCCCAGCAAGGATCACAATGTAATCAGCCCCTCAGGAGCACAAGCAGCCTGATACAGATTCCTCCAAATTCTGACAGGTATGTCTTTTTCCTTTATATGTCTAATAATGGAGCCAAAGTGTTAGAAAGCAGATAAGATGCTGGCATCTGTGTGGCCATCTGGTGTCCAATCCCTGACATCCCAAATAGTCCCAGTGTACTACCAGGAGTGATTTCTGAGCAGACCCAGGAGTAAGCTATGAGCACTATAGTAAGTGGCTCCCAAACCAAAAATAGACCAAACAAAACAAAGAACAAAAACCCACAAAAATACATATGTCATAACATGTTCTGCTTGTATGGTTATAATAAATCTCAGTCACAAGGACAACTACTCTGAGTTTCATGATTCCTTCTAAAAGGCACCGAAGATATGGACAGCAGCACTTCTTCACAGTGAAGGGTATACAAACATGGCGAAAAATGGTAACAGCATGAGAAAAATAAACAAAATTCAAGACTGTCTTTGTAGAAAAAATGGGCAAGAGAAGGCTCAGAGTCAAAATTCTTTGAATGGAATGTTATTTCTCACAGAAATAACAACTGAAAAATGGGCACATGGGTGTTCATTTAAATAATTTTAACACTTTTCCCGGTGGAGGAGGGGTGGCGGGAGAGAAACTGAGATCACTGGAAGTAGAAAATGGACACTGGTGGAGTGACGGGTGCTGGATCTTTGTACGACTGAAACCTGTTCATGAACAGCTTTGTAACTGTGTATCTCACAGTGACGCAATTAAAAAATTTAATTTTTTTGGAAAAATTAATTAAAAGTTAAAAAAATTAAAAGTTAAAAGTTAAAAAAATACTTTTAATACTTTTCAAGGAATACATCTTGCAATATCTCTTTTTGTACATTTAAAATGAAACACATGTTTTGAATCTAGAAGAGATAAATTATAGACCGCAGGTGGTAAAGAAAACAGGTAAACCACTTTGCAGAAAATTGGTAACATTTAATTTCATTTCAATGTGCTGTGAACTTTCCAGTAAAACTCATTTACAGCAGGGACTAGAGCAATAGCATAGCGGGTAGGGCATTTGCCTTGCACTCGGCCAACCCAGTTTAAATTCCCAGTATCCCATATGGTCCCCTGAGCACTGCCAGGAGTAATTCCTGAGTGCATGAGCCAGGAGTAAACCCTGTGCAATGCCAGGTGTGACCCAAAAAGGGGAAAAAAAAAAACTCATTTACAACATGAAACATGAAAAACTACTCAACTACCTGTACATTTCATGTATAAAATAGTAAACTTGTGTCAGCTCTCATTTGACTTACCTCTTTATTTCGTGGTGAAATACAAATGTTTTCTACTTCCGATTTTGAATGCAGCACTGATGCAATAGAATTTGCACTGAGTTCATTGACAAAACCTGGAGAAAAAAGTAAATTTTAAAATGTGTGTAAACATGAGAAAATGCTCTACATCACTTATCATCAGGGAGATGCAGATCAAAACAATGAGATATCATCTCACACCACAGAGATTGGCACACATCCAAAAGAACAGAAGCAACCGGTGCTGGCGCGGATGTGGCGAGAAAAGGACCCTCCTTCACTGCTGGTGGGAATGCCGACTGGTTCAGCCCTTTTGGAAAACAGTATGGACAATTCTCAAAAAATTAGAAATGGAGCTCCCATTTGACCCAGCTACACCACTCCTGGGAATATCCCAGAGAGGCAAAGAAGTACAGTCGGAATGATATTTGCACTTCTATGTTCATTGCTGCACTATTCACAATAGCCAAAATCTGGAAAAAACCTGAGTGCCCGAGAACAGATGACTGGTTAAAGAAACTTTGGTACATCTACACAGTGGGGTATTATGCAACTGTCAGAAAAGATGAAGTCATGAAATTTACATACAAGTGGTACTACATGGAAAGTATCATGCTAAGTGAAATGAGTCAGAGAGGGAGAGACCTAGAAAGATTGCATTCATCTGGGGAACATAAAGTAACAAAATAGGAGACTTAACACCCAAGAATAGCGGAGGTAAGTACCAGGAGGTTTACTCCATGGCGTGGAGGCCAGCTGTACATGCCAGTGGTTTAAAAGGCAGCTCAGATAGAGAAGGGAACACCGAATAAAGGGTGTTGGGAGGATCCTCCCAGGATGAGAGATGCATGCTGAAAGTAGACTATAGACCGAACATGATTGCCACTCAATGCCTCTTTTGCAAACTACAGCACCCAAAAAGAGAGAGAAAACAAAAGGGAACACAGTGCCACTGCGGTGGGGTGGGATGGGGGGTGGGATACTGGGAGCACTGGAGGTGGAAAATGGACACTGGTGGAGGGATGGGTATTCAATCATTGTATAACTGAAAGCCAAGCACAAAAAATTGTAATCTATAACTGTACCTCATGGTGTTTCACTAATAAAAAATATAATAAAATATAAAAATAAATAAAATGTGTGTAAAACCTTTAGTTTTTTGTTTTTTATTGAATCACCAGGAGATACATAATTACCAAGCTTCCATAACTGAGTTTCAGTCATACAATGTTCAGTCATACAATGGTCGAACACCCATCTCTCTACCAGTGTACATTTCCCACACTGTCCCCACTATCCTTCCTGCCACCACCCACCCCCAGCTCGTTTCTATGGTGGGAAGTTTTCTCTCTCCCCTCTGTCCCTCCCCCTCCCTTCCTCCCTCCCCCCCCTCCCCTTCCCCCTCTTTGGGCACTATGGTTTCTGAGGCCATCATGTTTGGTCCTTTACCCACTTTCAGCACACATGTTCCATCCAGAGAGATCATTTCCCAACGTAATTGCCATAGTGGTCCCTTCTCTGTCCAAACTTCCAGCACTTGAGGCAAGCCTAAAACCATGGATCAATCCTTCTGGCCCTTGTAAAACGTTTAGTTAAATTAAAACAAGTCCTATATTCAACTCTTCCTAGAAGACTAAACTAGGGACTGCAAAAAGCAAAGATTCCTCAAGAATAGCACCAGCTCTTCTTCCAGAAGAGTAGATATTTTTGCCACTATTTGTGTTCATTGCTTTGGCCTATTCTTTTATTTCAGTACATTTTAACAATAATTGGCACTTCAAATGTTTTTGCCATTATTTGCCACTTCTACAGAAAGAAGTAAAAAATCATCAAGCACTATCTAAAGCTTCCAATAATCCCAATAATTCTGTACCTCTTCTATATATTTATGGAATTCTCAACTATAGGGACATAAGACATTAAAGAAAATGACACAATAAACCACCTCCACTTCTCCTTGCCCTTCCACCATCCCAGATGACATTAACCTCCACAAACAACCCCTTCATCCTGCCTCTTTGAAAACCACCTCCACCTGTCCTCCACACAGCTATACTCACCATATCTCACACAACTTACCTGTCACTGGGTTAAGACAGGTAGAAAAGAAAGCAAGCAGCACATAACAACCTAACTCCCTCAGTGGTTTGAGGGGGAATGGGAAGGATCCTTGGGACACTGGTGGAGGGAAGCAAGCATTCTAGTGATGGGTGTAGTGCTATAATGATGTGTACATGAAAAGTATAACAGTATTGTAAGTCCTGGTCACAGTCACGGTCCTCCCGTTGTTCATCGATTTGCTCGAGCGGGCCCAGTAACATCTCCTCCGTGAGACTTGTTGTTACTGTGTTTGGCATACTAAATACGTCACGGGTAGCTTGCCAGGCTCTGCCGTGCGGGCGAGATACTCTCGGTAGCTTGCTGGGCTCTCCGAGAGGGGCAGAGGAATCAAACTCGGGTCGGCCAGGTTGGCTGCGTGCAAGGCAAACACCCTACCGCTGTGCTATCGCTCCAGCTCAAGTCCTGGTACTTCAATAAAAATTGTTTAAGGGAGAAAAAAAGAAAATAACAAATTACTTTCTCCAGTTTTATCCTGAGTACTGGAAGGTACATGAAGGTTTCGTAGAATACTTAAAACTTCTCGGACTACATTTTACATATATTTGAAACCTAGAACATTATGTCTACATTCCACATTAATATACTTATATTTTTCTCTATCCCAACCCTCAAAGTGACTCCGGAAACAGGCCTTACTATTTTCTTCAAAACAGTTTTGTAGTATATCCAGTATGTTCCGACCATTCTCCGTATCAATGTCAAGTACCCTAACAAAAGGAAAGTGAATGTTAATATTATTTCCAAGAAACATTTTTTACTAATTAATCTACCTATTTTGATATATACCTATTTACAAATGTTCATTTAAGATTGGGACAAAAATCATTTTTATGTCCAAGAGTCCAAGAGTTTTCAGAAGTGTATGAAAATAGTTGCCGCTATCTTTCTCAATAATTATGTTACTTGACTGAACCGCCATGTCTAAAACTATTTTCAGACTTTTGCAATATCTCCATCAACTTTTTTGAACAAATGTAATCAATTCTAAAATGCTTCTTTAATAAACACTCTAAGATCAAAAACTTGTAATAGCTACAAGTAACAGTCTCCTGTACAAGTCTTCAAATGCATTCTTGATATAGTTTCATTAAAAGTTGCTTAATTTTCATTAAACATTAATTCAAAGATAATTATTGGTTCACATGTAGTTGTCATTATAAAGGCCCTCCCGTTGATCGTCGATTTGCTCGAGCGGGCCCAGTAACGTCTCCATTGGAGACTTTGTTGTTACTGTGTCTGGCATATCGAATACTCTCGGTAGCTTGCCGGGCTCTCCGAGAGGGGCGGAGGAATCGAACTCGGGTCGGCCATGTTGGCCGCTTGTAAGGCGAGGCGAACGCCCTACCCACTGTGCTATCGCTCCTCGGCCTTTTGGCTAAGATCAAGTGTAGTTGTCATTATAAATTCCTTGTTAACTTTATCCAGTTCCCCCATCTACAAAACCACAACACACTATTACAACCAGCATGCTGATATTACTAAACCTACAATTGTTACTTAGATTTCTCTACATGTACTCATTTCCATAGTTTTATCTGTTTGTGTACATTAAGTCCTATATCATCACTTCAGTCAGTCAAGACACTGAACAGTTCCCTCACCACAAAAGTCCTTCATTGCTCTTTTATGACCTAACCCACATTCTCTCAGGCCCACCAAGCAAGTTACATCTTTTTAATATTACTAGTCAATCCATTCTACATAGTACTTTGCTGACAGTTAACATTTTGTAAAACCAATACTGTCTCTTCTTAATCCATTGTTTATCAAGGGGAGTTCTTTTCCTCTGGCCACATCTTGAATTAATATTTCCCTGTTAATGCTCAGTAACTAAGATCACTATCCTTGATCAATGGGGGCACAGGATCATTGGGTAAAAGTAATAGTTTTCCTTTCCCACAAGTACAAATCCGATCTTCTGTATATGGGAATAAAGATCATCTTAAAAGCTTTCGTGTAAAAAAAAAAAAATCACCTGGAAGGTCGACAGAATCTTCTTCTATAGTCATTTTTTAAATGATCCTGAAAGAAAAGTAAATCATCAATTTGATTTCTTTAGGGAACAACGATACATTGAAATATAACATAATTTCACTGATCTAATATAATTTCATCCCACTATGCCAGAAAGACTGTCCTTTCTGTATTCAGCAAACATTAAACTATTATAATATTAAAAAAAAACTCTTTAGAATCAAAGAAAGAAAAGCTATCTCCTATCTACTATTCTCAACGTTTACTAATATACTTTCTTAACCTGGGGTTTATTCTATTTCTGTTCATCTTACTGCACCTTCCTCCATTTGTTTTCCATCAACAAAATCCCAGTTATCTGGAATTTTCAAAGTTCAAACTGGCTGCATAACAGTATCTACTTCTTTCCTTTCCCTATAGGGAAATCTCCCTAAAATAATAAAAGATAAAATTGCAAAAAATAAAAGAACAGAAGCAAGGACCATGTGTGAGAAAACTAACAAATTCCTGGATGATTGAAAATAATAAGACACGATAATGATAAAAAAGAAATGAAACAGCAGCAATATAAAGTATGTTCAGCCTGTGTTTGTTCTGATGAGGAATGAATATGATCTGTGCAAGAAAAAGTCGTAACTATGTAGAGCTAGGAGACTAGAGCTGGGGGTGGAGGGGAGGAATAAAAACAGAGCCATTAAAAGAAAAGGTACAAAAAGAGGAGCACACCCACTTTGCTTACATAGAGCTCAATAACAATATCCTATCACCTCAGTCTTAAATATGGTCAGCATTTATGAATCAGCAGACATTTAAGTTGCTTTAAAAAAAAATGGGGGAGCAGAAAAGCGAATGGACTATGCAATAATCCGCGCCATCTTGCCTGCCCGGAGGGGAAAGGGTGTTGCCACATTCACCCTCTCCTCTCTGGAAAGAAAGATGGTGGCCGCATGGGAGTCTTGTGGAGAGCAGGTCTGAGCTGGGGGTGGGGCGCGACTGAAACCTCATGGGGGGGGGGGGGGGCGGCGGCGCTCCGGCCGGTCCTTCACACCTGACCGAGGTCACCAGCTACCCACCACGAGCAGCTCTTCGGCACGGCCACGGCCCCAGAAGCATAGAGACCAATCTCTTAATTATCTGACTCTCAGTAGAAATACTTGCAGGGTTAATAAATAAAATAGCAGAAATCAAAAAAAAAAAAAATGGGGGCTGGGGTGGAATCTGTATTCTGCCTTTAGATGAAAAAGAAAACAGTCCGAAAGAATGCAATTATCAAAACCAGAAATAAAATTTCAAAATACTTTTTTGAAAAAAAGAATATTAGTTACTTCATTGGAAAACTGACATTATCTGAGACTCACAGGGTAAAAAGAGTTTATCATAAGTAGGAGAACAAGAACAACACAAGTCACTGGACAGGAACTTAACTAAAGCACTTAAGTTTCCATTTGGTAATCAGCATTTTCAAACACTGTAGTGACCCCCTGAGAATATCACCTACCTTCCAAGGCCAACTCTTCTAATGTCACACACAGGTATTGAGAGATCTACAAAACTTGCAGATTGAACCATTTTTTGAACCTAAATGAAATCTAGAAAGTATACTGCTTTCCTCTTTACATAAATAAATAAGTCCATTTGCTCAACAAATATTAATCACCCAATGGGGCCCACTAGGAAACAAATAGTAATAAAGACAAACAAGGTCTCTTAAATCTAAGTTAAAAGAATGCATTTAAAATTTCTCAAAATAAATACACTAAAAATTTGCCAATTTTAAATAATTTTTTTAGTTAATTTTAGTTGTAGTTTTATTTCCGTCCACTCTGCGGCTAAGAGACGTGATTACAAAGTATAGCAGGGTGTCTCAAATCCTACAATACTGACATTTAGGACCAGTGTAAGAACCCACCATATGCACTACAGGATTCTTATCTGCATCCCTGATGCCCACATACTAGGTACCCTTAGCACTGTCCTGTCAGGATAACCAGAAAAAAAAATTTTCAGGGGGCAAATCACCCCTCTCTGACCCCAGTTAAGAACCACTAAACTATAGGAATAGCTGAAAATAATTTCTCTATTCCTCTCTTCCTTGTCTTTTACATAGATTGTGATACAAAAGCAGACATTAGAAGGTTTGAGCCAGTTCTAAGGTTATACAAGCAAAAACACAAACTAGTCGAGAGAGTAGTAAGTGAACCACAAACAGGGAGAAAATTTTACAAAAAAGAATCCTTACCGAAAACATACACTAGTAACAGTAAGGAGTCAGAGCCATAGTCCAGCAGGTAGGGCACTTGCTTTGCACAGGGCAGAAGTGGGTTTAATGCCAGGCATCCCACATGGTGCCCAAGCACCTCCAAACAAAAAACTTCAACAGTGAGAAACAAATTTTAAAATACCTGGCCTAAAACCTTGAATGAGATCTTGCCAATGATATATACAAAGGGAGAAATTAGCATAGACAAGATGCTCCAGGGCTCAAAATTTGGCACAAGTACTAGAGCACTTGTGTAGCATGTATGAGTCCTTACAATTGATCCCAGGCACTGGTGGAACAGGTGCCTGTGCCCTGCAACCCACTCACGTACCCAAGTACTACAACACCAGGAATGGTCCAAGATCCCCTAAGAACAGGCTTACTATTAAAAAAAAAAAAATAGTCCACATCCTCTGTCATCAAGCAAATACAAAATAAAACAACTGCCATGCACCTAGTGGAATGGTCATAATATATGGCACTAAGAACTCTAAATGCTGATGCCGCTGTGTAACAAAAAGACTCATTCACTCCAAAATGCAAAATGGTATGTTGCTACTTTGGAAGAGTTTTTTTTTTTTAATAAACCTAAACATAGACTTAAAATCTAATTTCTTCCTCCCCCTCCCTCCAACCCCACCTCCCAATACACACACACACACACACACACACACAGACACACACACACAGACACACACGACCAATAAAAGATGCTTCAGGAGAAAATACTAAGTGAAAGAAGTCCATCTAAAAAGCTTCCTACTGCATGATTATGACTATAGTACCTTCTGGCAGTGGGATGAGGGGAGAGGGGTGAACAGGCAAAAGTCCAAATTCCAAGGATTTTTAGGACAGCGAAATTAAACTGATGACTTCGTGTCACTCTGTCCAGTGCTAAAAGTGATGTGCAATGCTAAAAGTGAATTTAGCGTAAACAATGACCTATGGGTGGATTCTGATGCCTCCAGGTGGTCTCATCAATTTAACAAAAGCATCTCTCTGGAAAGAGATTTATCAATGGGGGCAGTGAAGGTTAAAAGGGGGGGGGAGGGGGGTACTGCAAACCTCATTGCCTTCCTTTAATTTTCGCTTTGAACCTAAAACTGCTCTAAAGATAGGTCACCTAACTCTCACCCTCCCCTTCCTCCAGTGGCACCAGCTGCAGGGCTCCATCTGACAGACGTGACGCAATGCCAACAATGCACGCGCTCACAGTAAACACAGCCCTTTCTCCATCCCTGCGGAAAACAAAGCACCCACCCGAGTCCTACCAAAGGTTGTTCATCAATGCGGCACCTTCCCTTCGACACCTGCTAAGGCCGAAAATAACTAAATTCCGCTTGGGGAGGGCTGATAGAAGCTGCACAGGCAGGAGACTGAGCCCGTAAACAACGTTCGGATAGAAGAATCGGGGTCTGGGGGTGGGGAGGGGGTCCAGAAACACGGACACAGCAGTGCACCCCCACCTCGTCACAGCCCGCACCCTTTAACCACATCATTCTCTGATGACTCCACCAATAAGAACTGCCACCCCCACCTCGTCACAGCCCGCACCCTTTAACCGCATCATTCTCTGAAGACTCCACCAATAATAAGAACTGCACCACGGACTTCTCCAGAAATCTGAAGCAAAGACACACTTTGAAGGCCTGTCAATCAGACTTCGGTGGGTAGAAATTTACCGGAAGGACCCAGGGACCGGCCACAGCCCCACCCCCACCCACCCCCGAAAAGAATTACAAGCTGCCGTGAGGACAAGGATGCCGTCGCTTGCTTAAACCTGGGCCAAGAAAATTCACTCTGGCTACAGGCAGCGGTCACCTCGGGGCTCGACCTTTCCCCCACGGAACTTTCCGCGTCGCGTCAGCGGCCCAACGTGTCCCCGGCGGCGGCGGCGGCGGCGTCGGGCGCCCAGTTCTAGCGCCCCGAGGGCTGGATCTGCACCTACCAGACCCGACGCGGCCATCTTCCGATACGGCTCGGCCGGCGCCAGCGATCTGGATCCGAAACGCAGACAGGACGCGGCCCAAGGAAGTTCCAGCACTGAGCGAACCGTTCGGGTCACACAGAACCCTGCCGGCGGCGCGGCCCAGCACACGCCATGGGCTCCGAGCGCCACACCCCACAGGCCCGCGAGCCTCCCGCGCCCCGCGCTCCGCAGTTTGAAACAAGCCGCACATGCGCAGACGCGCTGCTCACGAGGAAGCCGTTACGGGACTCTAAGCCCGCCTTCCGCTGGCCCCGCCTACCCCTTCCGTATTGGACATCTCTCGTCTTTGCCCAGTGACTTCCTCCTATCACGGTCCACTACGGAGGCCGGGGCACGGAGCTGGGCTTTTCATTGGCTGCTACGGTCTTCTGGCCCGCCTAGAGTGTGGTCGGGATGCAAATTAATTGATGCGAGGTAGAGATGGCGGAAGTCCGGAAAGGGGATCAGTTTTCCAGGGCCAGCTCCTTCAGCGCCTACCGCCGCGCCCTTTCACGTCACTCTAAGTGGTGACGCTGATGATGATAAATGATTACGTCGGAGACGGGGTCAGAGCCTTGGTATAAGCGAGCAGGGCGCTTTCCTTGCGCGCGACCGACCGGGATTCGACCCCTTGGACCCGGGATTCGGAGATAATTATTACATGAGAAAGCTTATGAAGACCATTAGGGAATCTGACCATTTCTTGATTCTCTAATTTGTCCTGTGCATTAAAATTTGCCAGGGAGTGGCGGGAACCCCGGCACCCCATATGGTCCCCCTGAGTCCCGTCCCCCCCCACCCACCCACCCGAGTGATTCCTGAGCGCAGTGCCAAGAAACAAGCCCTGAGCACTGCCGGTTTGCCCCCTTTTTCTCACAAAATTGCAAGGGATTAAAAAAATGCTTATTAAATTAAGCGAGTCGGGCTAATATTTTAAATACTCAATGCTTTGTCAAATGCAATAATCCACTAAGGCCATTTAAAAGTTATTTTTTAATTTTTATTTTCTCTGGTTTTAGGGCCACACCCAGCGGTGCCCAGGGCTTACTCCTGGCTCTTGTTTTCTGGAAGTACTCCTGGAATGCTCGGTATGGGGTGCCCGGGACTGAACCCCGGTCACTCGCGTGCAAGGCAAGCGGGGTCCTACCTGCTGTACTATCCCTCTGGCCGCCCTTTATGAATTCTTTACTCAGTTTTTTTTTTCCTTTTTGACATGGAAGAGGGCTTATCAATTTAAGCTCTGGAAATCAAATAAGGCTAGATTTTACTACATTCCACTAAATCTTCCAGCAGGGGCATTTTATTTTATTTTAGGTTAGTTTAGTTTAGTTTTGCTTGGGCTGGAGCGACAGCACAGTTGGTAGGGCGTTTGCCTTGCATGTGGCCCATGTGGCCGACCCGACCAACAGGAGTTTGATTCCTCAGCCTCTCTCAGACAGCCTACCCAGAGTATCTCACCAGCACAGCAAAGCCTGACAAGCTACCTGTGACATATTCAATATGCCAAACACAGTAACAGCAAAGTCTCACGATGGAGACGTTACTGGGCCCGCTGGTGCAAATCGATGAACAATGGGAGGACAGTGCTACAGTGCTATTTATTTTTGCTTATTGGGTCACACCTGGCCATGCACAGCGGTTACTCCTGGTTCGGGCACTCAGGTATTACTCCTGGCGGTGTTCGGGGGGACTATATGGGATGCTGGGAATTGAACACTGGTTGGCTGTGCAAGGCAAACGCCCTACCCGCTGTGCTCACTCCAGCCCCCATCAGGAACATTTTAAAGTATTACTCCATTCACTTGTCTGTAACTTGGGTTGATAATAAGATTGTTAAAATATGGATTAAATAATTCTTTTTAAGACCTAAATGAAATGCTAAGATCATAGTAAAAATTCAGTAACTAATACTTTTGGTATTATTATGTACATTTTATACTTGGACCTGTGTAAATTTTACCTGTTGGATTATATTAATATAATTTGGATTAACACACTTAGAAAAGACAGTAGTAAAAGCTAAATTTGTTATCCAGTGCATATATATGTGTCTAATTGTTTAATGAATACTCTCCATGATTGACCATATTTAACTCTTACAACATAACATATCTATGAGGGGAGATGATTAATACTATTTTATAGAGGATAGAACTGGGACAGAGTTTAAGTTCTGGCACTTACCAACTTTGACTTATTTAGTCACCAGCTTGTTCAATGTCAGGGCAGAGAATGAATTCAGATATTCTAAGACTTAATCACTATACTCTCTCACTCAGAAATTTTAGCAAGCACAGTTATAGAAGTCACTGTCATTGTCATCCCATTATTCATTGATTTCCCAGAGCAGGCACCAGTAATGTTTCCACTCGTCCTTGCCCTGAGATTTTAGCAAGTGCCACATTAGAGACTCTTTCAGGGTCAGGAGAATGAGACCCATCATTGTTACTGGGTCTTGGCATATCGAATATGTCACGGGGAGCTAGCCAAACTCTGCCATGCAGGCGGGATACTCTCAGTAGACTACCGGGTTCTCCAAGAGCAAGAACTAGACAATTTTCAGTTTCATACAATTCAAAAAAAAGAACTTTTAAGAAAGTTAAACTTGAATTTGACTAGCATTTTCCATGGCATTTTTTTTATTATAGCTTAGATGTCCATTGTTTGCTGATTTTACTGATTTTAAATAGCCTTGGTGCACAGTGTTAGACTTAGCATGTGGGAAATCCCAGAGCACAGGCTAATTAAATGTCATGAGTACCATCATTCTAATTAATACTAGCTGATACCATTTACTGAAACTCTATGTAACAGGCACTGTGTATTTATCTTAACTCATATAAAAGTCCATGAAATTTTAACTCTTTCGACAGTTAAAATTCTCCTGATTCTACTGGAAATGGTAATTCTCAAAGTTATTTTCAGGAACTTGAAATGCTATGACATACCTGAATAAAATTCAGAGCACAGAAAATGTTAGGAAAGAACTGATTTGTTGTAGAGAGAAAATGAAGCAGACAATTCAGTTTTCTTTAGGAAACCAAAATGGTGCACAGACCCCACAGTTCTCAAACTTGCAGTTAAATCTGCAACTGTCCTTGTATTGAATAACCCCACCATTAACTTAATAGCCTAAAACATCTGTGGTTAGTTCAGTAATGTTTCTACAACCCAGATTTGTCATTACAGATCCCCTTCCCACAAAAAATGCAACAAAATCATGAACTCTGACAACTGATTCTTAAGAGTTTTTTTTAATCACAACTATAACACTTTCTTAGGTAATGTGAACATGTATGTACTAAAACATCCAGAAATATAGTTTAAGAAAAATAGAAACTTTCAGTTGCTTATGACTTTATAAAAATGTTGTTATTAAAACTATTGTAAAAAATGCTTTAGACTTTAAATTTTGTATTCGAATAGACATTAGACATTATTTTAAAGTAGTTTTTTGTTTGTTTTGTTTTGTTGGGGGTCACACCTGGGTTTTGTGCTTAGAGATTACTCCTGTGGGGCTCAGGGGACCATATATGGTGCCTGGAATGGAACTCCAGTTAGCTACAGAGAAGGCAAGTGCCTTACCTGCTGTACTATCTCTCCAGTCCCAAAGCAGTCTCTCACAGTGAAGACAACTCTTTGTAAACATCCTAGAGAAATTTAGTAGCTCTGTCCATACCCTTTACAAGTGAAAAGAGTACATCTTCCCACTACTGACATTTGAAAAATGAAAGAAAGCTTGTTCTCTCAAACTCAGGTTCTCCTTTGAACACGTATATTTGTTTGTTTGCTTTTGCCATTCTGAAGAAGCCTGTGTTCTATAACATGTACTCCTCTCTTTCACATCTTTCTAAGAGAAATTTTATTCAGCAAAAACTATCTTGATTCCAAAAATAAATCTGTTCTAGAAATTTAGTTACTATTACAACATAAAATCTGCTGAAGTAAAAATCTATTTTTAAACTTTGAGTTTTATTTGTAATTAAGTTTACCCCGCGAATCGGTGTTCCTTCCCGGAGTCCCTTGGAGGGGAGCGGGTTGAGCTTTCCTCCCCGCCCCGGCCAGGGCTACGGCAGCCGGAGACCTCCAGGACCAGCCACCACCATGCTGAGACCACTCTCCGCACACCTGAAGGTACTGGCAGAGGGACAAAGCCACGCGGGTTCCGGGGCCGAGACCTCCAAGCCTACTCGAATTGGAGTCGAGCATCTTCCACCCAGATCCTCCAAATTCCAGTAGGCGGGGGTCACACCCACCACCTGGCCCCCTGGCGCCGTGTAATCCCATCAGCGGCCAAGACTCAGAGACTATAAAATCCAGATCCCGGACGAGAGCAGTGCAGTCTCTGCCCCCGCGAATCGGTGTTCCTTCCCGGAGTCCCTTGGAGGGGAGCGGGTTGAGCTTTCCTCCCCGCCCCGGCCAGGGCTACGGCAGCCAGAGACCTCCAGGACCAGCCACCACCATGCTGAGACCACTCTCCGCACACCTGAAGGTACTGGCAGAGGGACAAAGCCACGCGGGTTCCGGGGCCGAGACCTCCAAGCCTACTCGAATTGGAGTCGAGCATCTTCCACCCAGATCCTCCAAATTCCAGTAGGCGGGGGTCACACCCACCACCTGGCCCCCTGGCGCCGTGTAATCCCATCAGCGGCCAAGACTCAGAGACTATAAAATCCAGATCCCGGAACCGCGCGGCCGCATTTGCGGCCGCGCGACATCTTATTATCTCATTCCTACTTTGGACAATCTTGCAGGCTGTCGAATGTAGCCTGCCCACAGGGCAGAGTCTGGCAAACTCCCCGTGGCCTACCAAATATGCCAAATACCAGTAACAATGATGGGTCTCATTCTCCTAAAGAGCCCTGAATATAATCTCAGGGCTAGGATGAAAGAGACGTTACTGGGGCCTGCTCGAGCCAATCGACGATTAACAGGATGATGAAATGAAATGAAATGAAAACTTTGAGTTTTATTTGTAATTAAGTTTACTATTTTAACTCAGTTAATGCAAATGTTGATCCCTCTGTGACTGCATTCATT